AAAATTGCTTTAGTTAATCACTAAATTCTAGTAACGTTTAATCAAAAGGCCATTAAAACCCCAATAACATCAAATAATTGATGTAATAAAACCCAAATAGGGAATTAACGACACCAAGCGTCAAATCAGTCCGAAACGGACGAGTGCAGCCATTAAATGATCATTTTAATGCTCACCGGACGAGCCGGTTCGGACAGGTACGCTTAATCAGGCTTGATTACAGCCTTGATTCGGGTTAATGGTTACCCCAATTGCGCCCCGACAGGTACGCTTATCAGGCTTGATTACAGCCTTAAACCCTCTAATAATGGGACCGAGGGACACTGATTTAATTACAATCAATATCATTAAATAGCGTAACGGATCATCGGAGGCGTCTGGGGATCGGCTATCGGCTTACTCGACGCCGGAGGTTGAACCGAGAATCTGGGACGATGATTTGATTCCGGCGGCCAGAAAACTCGACTCTTATTATCTCCTAACACTTTCCACGGGAATCAAGAGAGCGAACTCTTGCAAACCCTAGCAATGGATCGCTCCACCTCCGATAAGGATAAATCCTCCAAGCGTTCGCGCGACGAGCGTGATCGGGACTCCGGCAGAGACCACCGCGATAGAGAACACAAGCACAGATCACGGGATAAGGATCGAGATGGCAATTCTTCCCACCACCACCGGTCGGAGCGCGAGGGTCAGCATCGCGACCACGACCACCACCGCAAGTCTTCAAGGCGCGAGGATCGCGAGGGTTCTCGGGACCGAGAATCCAAGCGAGAGCGGTCGATTGATGTGAAAGACGATGGGGAAGGCAGCAGGGAGAGAGCTGATCGGTCTCACGACCGTCGATGGCCCACATTTGAGCTAATTAGTTATTAATCAAGAATTACTATTAGTTAACGAAAAGGTTTAGAAAATAAATAAAAAATGCAAAATGTGATTCCGCTGCCGGGACTCGAACCCGGAGTTCCCTTTCGAGGAACGGTTAATTAGCTTCTCTAATTTGTTTACCAGCTACAGCGGATTATTGATACAAGTTTTCATATTTATTAAATTAAATAATTTTATCCTCGTTAGCAGTAATAATGTTGTGCATTTATGCATGGTAGGGATTACAACTGCCTGGTGGATAGTACATATCCGTTACCCCTACCCAAAATAGTTTGTACTTTACTCATACCCATATCCAAATAGGAATCGGGTAGAAAATCAAAACCATGCCTAAACTCGTTCGGGTACCGGATATCCATGGTTATCCATGAATAATAATTTCTCTTTATACCTCCAACCAACATGTTAACATTCACACACATTATATAAGCGAAACAGTAAGACAATATAATTCACCAGAATGAAAAAAAACTAATTCCAAACAATACAATTTCATGAAAATAGTATATTAGCACGCTAAATATATAACATATGTTGGGGAAAAACAATGATCATTTCTAGATGGACCCCCTTTGCCCCTTTCGCTTGCTTGAATATATGGGAATGGATCAGGTCAGTAACTTTATGATGAGTAACTATGAGTAACCCGCCCACATCAGCATGACATCAGCATCCTCTCTCTCCTGGAAAGCCTTTAATTTTCCCCTCCTTAATCTTTGACAGACGATTTCTCACTCGTTTTAAGTCGAAATTTAATTTTTTTTTGCACAGTTAGATCAGATTAATTGTGCTCTTCAAAATGATATCCACTTTGATATATTTTTCGAACAAAAAAAATTGAGTCATTTTATACCAGTCTATACCATATGGTATTGACTGGTATTGAAATAAGAGCATACCTATGGTTTGAAAAGCGTACCATGGTGGTATGGCACAAACCAAGACTGTAGGATGATTGAATACATGATAGTAGAAGTATATTAATTGTCATTTACGACTTTTAACATTGTATACCATAAAATACCTTAAAATACCACCCCGTACCAGGGTGGTATTGTATGGTATTGTGTGGTATTTTTTGGTCTTGTAATTTGTTCACCCAGAAATTTGTAGATCAAATAGATCATGATGAACTCGTCCCTGCTGTGCAAACGTTTTCAAAAACGAATGAAAAACGAAGAAAATACCATATGGTATGCAGTTGGTACCGAAAGGCCAGAATTTTTTTTCCTCAAAAAATATTGAAAATTGATCTCATTTTGTAGAGCACGATGAACTCGTTCCATCTGTGCAAAAAAAAATTAAAATCCGAGTTAAAACGAAAAAGATATGAGTCAATTAAGAAAACTAGTGAAAATAAAAATGGTCTTTAATTCTCCATCCTTAGATCTGGATTTTCTAAATGAGGGGTCCATATTTGGTTATTGATGGGTGCATAACCCATGGTTATGCACCCTATCTTGAGCCTGAATATATCAAATTCATCGGGAACTAGAGGTCTCGGATTCGAATCCTTTGACGCGCCTAATACGTTTCTGATTCTTGTCCCTTTCTTGGCAGGCTTTGTAGCATACTGGTCGGGCGTGATGCATGTTTAATTCGCACCCCCCGCCGTGACGCGTTTTGTTGGGTTGCAACTCTGGGACACCATGCAGCAGCTTGGCAACATCAACCACTTGCGAATTGTTTCATTCAATTAATATATGGTTAGGTAGTTCGAGCTAATTATAATGAGTGTGTTTCTTGTTTTCATATTAGTAAAACAAACGAACAAAACTAGGTCAAAAATCAACATCAACTTGTGAATTGTTTTTTTTTTTTTGAAGATCAACAACATATCGGCCATGATGATGAGAATAATGCTAGAAGCCACGTGGTGGGGAAGAGGAAGACTTAGCTTGGATGGAGACAGGAGAGACTTGAGCTGGCAACTACATGCATTTCCGTACCTTTCAGTTTTCATGTGCTTTTAGAGGAGAAAGGGAAGTACCGCGAAATATGACAGACGACAATTGCCGCATTGGTGAAATGTAAGGCTGCTTATACATCCATCAGCTGCAGCTACACCACCACCGTCTCTACCACCAAAACCTTTGTTTTGTCACATTCACTACAATAATAATTAATAGTACTACTACTTCCCCTAGCTTAGCATTATTGCTACACCACCGTCTTCTTCTATTGTTGTTTATGAAAAGAGCAGTAGTATATAAATTGCTGTGCGACATAATGCACCCTCCATCGTCCATTCAGCATAACTATTCTTGCTATGTACAGTGATGCCTATATTCTGTTTGGTTTCTTTGGATGGGAGTGGCAACTTGGCAACTTGTACATATATTCTGGTTCTACACCTTAATTAGGAAGAAGGTGCTTAATTAATTAATTGACTAGCCAATGGTGAACGTGGGTTTTGGGAAGTTTAATGATTCCTTAGATGCATGTGTGGCATTTGATGCAATGAACATGACTTGAGTTAGTAATATAATTGTCATCTTCAATTAATTACAAGAAACGGAACATTTCAGTTTCACAAACAATTAAAACAAAGGGCTAGTAGCTAGGCTACGTTGGTAGCCTGGTGGTGGTGATGATTGAAGTACTACTTTGGGTTTAAAATAAAGTGTAGAAGTAGGGATGGTTAATGGATGGGTTAGTTTGGGGTTTGGCAGATTTGATGGATTAATTTTGTGAGTTTTGCGCTGACTTTTGTCTACTTCGAGTCTCGATTTATGTTCAGAAAAAAATAATAATTGTAAAAACATATCGAATGTCGTACAGGAAAAGTAAGCATTAGGATATTTTGTGCTAAAATTGTAGTTTAATCATGATTAAATTAGACTTGACACGTTACTCCTACCCGAGCCTCTATGTATGTTAAGAAAAAACCAAAAACTGTAAAACCATACCGAAGGTCGTACCGAAAAGTAAGCATTAGGTCATTTTGCGCTAAAATCGTAGTTCAATCGTGGTTAAATCATTTGATACTCCGAAAAATCCCCTACTGATTTAGATTATGTTAGGAGTTTTTCTATTGGATCGCCAGTACGGTTCAACGTAGTTCAAATGTGGCTAAATCAGGCTTGACACGTTGCTCCAACCCGAGCCTCGATTTATGTTCAGATATACCAAAAGTTGTAAAACTATACCGAAGGTCATACAAAAAAAGTTAGCATTGGAGTATTATTTTGTGCTAAAATCATAGTTCACCCGTGGTTAATTCAGGCTTGACACGTTGCGCTAACCCGAATCTCGATTTATGTTTAGAAAAACCAAAAAATTGTAAAACCATACCTAAGTTCATACCAAAAAAGTTGGCATTAGAGTATTTTGTGCTAGAATCATAGTTCAATTGTGGTTAAAATAAGGGTTGACACGTTGCCCCAACTCGAGCATCGATGTTTGTTCAGGGGAAAAAAAAAACCAAAAGTTGTAAAATCATACCGAAATTGGAACTAGGAAAGTTAACATTAGAGCATTCAGTGATAAAATCGTAGTTCAACCGTGACTAAATCATTTCATACAACTAAAATCACCTACCGATTCAGATTTCATTAGGAAGTTTTCTATTTGACCTCTGCTACACATGATCACAAATCAAATACGGGTTAACAAACAATACATCTAATCCTATAAGAAGCCGCAGCGAAGCGCGATACGTAATCTACCTAGTTCAATTTTAAAGCTATAAAGATCAACATAATAGAAAATTATCTGGGCATAGCTTATTGCATAAACTAATGATGGTCATCTCATTTGTGAACAAAAAACTTTTTCACTGACTATTCAATATTCATCGTATGTTTTCATTAATCGATGTATGATTTGTGTCAGAATAAGTCGAGCAAAATTTATAAAAATCAATATCATTTAAATAAATCAATCACAAATTCACAATCAACATTTTTAAGTAAACGAATTACATTATTGTAAAATGTAAAGTAGCTAGTGTAATATATCGGGTGGTTTTGCAGGTCAACGACCCACCCACCACACATTAAACTTTTTTTGAACCACAAAATATGGTATGCGCTTATTAATAAAGGTGATAACTTGAATAAAACTAGCTCGTTTACAAATTTTTTTATTAAACTTAGTCTATTTACTCGATTCACTAATTCTCGAATAATTCACTGACTAAATGATGAACTGAATTAATTTCCCGCATCTACTTATTAAACCATTTTATTTGTCAAAAAAAAAAAATACTTATTAAACCAAGAAAATGACATCCAACTAAAGAGAAACTTTCAATAAGCCGCAATTCTTTCATCAACGAATATAGTATAGGCGCACTCGGGAGACTTACAAGCAAACCTCCGTAACAAATCAAAGAGTGAACACAACCAGAAATTCAAAAACAAAAACAAAAAAACATCATCCTTTTTTTTTTTTTTTGTCACCGGTGCTCATCCATCATACCAGCTTCTCTTTTTTTTTTTCTTATATAGGAGAGGACACCATACATATTAAAACCATTTCATGTGGCTTCTACTGAAAATCTTGTGCCGACGTTCCTCATACTGCAATCTTCTAACACCCAGCAGGGTTCATCGTGCCGGTAATGATCGGTTTCACGTTGAGGCACGTCGCTTTGGCCTTCCCAGTGGGCGACGTAAGATCAATGTTCGACATGCACAGGTTCGCACACGGGTGCGCCGGGCTGCAGCTGATCATGATCGCGTCGTCTCCCCTCACCGTACCCTTGATGTTCTTGAAGCTCACATCCCTAATCGTCACCTTCGACGGTCCCTTCACACGCGAAAAAACACAAAAAAAAAAAAAAATTTGTCGTATGGTCCATGTAGAGATATAATTCGAACTCGAATAACGTCATCACGTGACATATATTACCTTGGACTTGCACTCATTGGAGGGGCAGTAAACCTGATCAATGATGATAGGGTTACACACGTTATCCATAGTGATGTCGTCGAAATGCACGTCGGACACTTCACATGGCTCCATATCGGGCCACGACTTGATCCTGACGCCGTTGTCGGTGCCCTTGAACGTGCACTGCCTGACCCAAATTCCCTGGACCGGGGCCTCGTTCGGGTACCGGCCCAAACTCCCCACGCTGATGCCGTGGCCCGGCCCACAAGTGACCCGCTCGACGGTCAGGTGCTGGAGCCCATCGCCGATGGAGATGCAGTCGTCGCCCGTGGCGATCTTGGTGTCGAGGACCTGGATGTCGCTGGACCGGCCGATGTGGATGCCGTCGGTGTTGGGGCTGTCCGCCGGCGCGATGATCGTCATCTTGCAGAAGATGAGGTTCTTGCAACCCAGGACGTTGATGTGGAACTGCTTGCTGTCTTTGCTGGTGATCCCTTCCACCTTCCCGTTGGTGATGTAGTTGAACCTGATGTTCTGCGCACGAGGATTGTACGAAACAGAAGAGAGAGCGGTATAAGATCTATAATAACTGAATTTTGAGTTACTTGCGATGAATTGATTTATTATACGACCATCATTAATCAATATTCAAAGCGGGGATGTACATGCATGAAATGTAATCAAATAAAACTCGAAAGTTTGACCTTTTACACTTATACGTCACCAAAACGGTTCTATGTATAAAAAAAAAATACTTTTCACTTACGAGCAATGTAGTCAGAAAGCGCATTTCTACGTAGAAACCGTTAGCTTTTCAAGGTTTAAAGCGCAGTTTTTTACTACATTAGTTATAAAAACTGTGATTATGGATAGAAGCATTTCGGTGACCTAAAAGCGTAATTTTTTAAGGTTTAAAGCATGATTTTGACTACATTTCTTACACGTGTAGTCAAAATCTACCGCTTTATAATTTAAAAGAAAAATCATTTTTTTCCTTCTATGTAGAATCGCGATTTTGACTGCAATGCATGGATGACGGATGATTGTTACGTACCACGGTCTTGGATTTGCTTTTACCGTATATGGCGCTCCCCATGCCGTCGAAGGTGCCGCAGCCGGTGATGGAGAAGTGGTCGATGTAGCCGAAAGTGAACCAGGCGTCGCCGGGGGTGTTGACCGGCGCCTTTAGGATTCCCTGCAGCTGGATTTCGACGGGGGCTTTGCACGGCCCTTTCACGTTGACGACGCCGATCTGGTACGTCCCGTCGGGGATCACGACGAAGGCTGCGATCGGGGAGGCGCAGGCATCGGCGAAGGCTTTCAAGAACGCCTTCAAAAATCAAACCACGTATATAAAGATATTTAGTTTACCACAACAAAATGAACGTGTAATGTTTTATGTTACTGTGTTTTTTTTTTTTTTTTTGCCTCCTCGTACCTGGGTGATGTCGGAATTGGGAGATCCGCCGTACTTGGTGACGTCGAATACGTGAGCTTGGACGGTGGTAGTGAGAGTTATGGAGGCAAACAGCGATACTAGTAAGCAAAATCTGATCGTGGCTGCCATGGTATGGCGATTGTTCTTGTGATCTCGATTGATCGATTGGTAAATCGTTTTGTGTTCGTGTTTCGTTGTATTTTGTGATGGATTTCGTGACGAGTGTTGGTAGGTTTTTATAATGAAGTTGTGCGTATTTTGTGGTGTCTAGTTTCGGGGTTACATGGTTACAACTTGCAAGTTATTTTTGGGATTAACAGATGTTCATCGGATGGAGAATTTGGACATTTTCCTTGACTAGTTAGTTACCACTACCTAATTAATTGACACCACTGAAGTTTACATGGAGTTCAAAAGTCATTTTTTTTATTTTTATCAGAACCTTGTGACGCAAAAATGTGCGGAGGCAAAACTGTCCGCGTGTAAAACAGTAAGTTAATGAAAAAACGACCCTCCTCTCAAAAAATGAAAAAACTACATATTCATAAAAAAAACATATTGTTTTATGTGGGTAGTTACGATGAACGGTGAGCTGGTTAAGTCATTGTGATGAGTTAAAAAAAATTGAAATTTATAATCGTGATATCAGAGCTAATGCTAGGTTTGTCTAGTACCTTGGTTCCCTAAACAAACAACAATTGTGCATATGTATGGAATTCAGATCTCTACATGAACTTTCACACATAATAATCTCATACATTGTGCTTGACAAGTAATGTCTAAGGTTATATAATAGGATTATAAATTTATAACCATAAAAGTGACCGTCCATAAAAATGTTTACTAAGGGGTCGTTTGGAGAATATGAGTTTAAATCTACAGATTGTCAACAATCTAAAGATTCTAACTCTCCAGATTGTTGAAAATAGATTTTAAAATGTTTATTGTTTGGTAACTGTGATTGTTAGCATTCAATTAAAATAAAAAAAATCTAATTTTATATTAAATAAAATTTTATCCTTAATAAAGAAATTAGAGTTGTTCAATATATATTAAAAACTTTGTTGATAAATATATTTCATGTGATAAATAAATAAAAGTAAGAGACAAACTAGGAGGAAAAAAATCTCATGAATCAAGATATAGAATCTCTCTGATTATGAGATATTTGATATCCGCAGATTTTAGAGATTTGAAATCTCTAAAGCTAGAATCCACCATACAAAAAGCAACAAAAAAACATAACTTTCTATAAAATCTACGGATTCAGTGAATCCATGTCCTGAATCCTGTTCTCCAAACGACCCCTAAGATTTGATAAACGACTCGTAAACAGGATTTGTCCATATCACGACACATAGTCGTGTCCACGAGATGAAAAAGAGATTTAGTCTACGAGACGGCGCGTGTTCTTGATTAATCAGTTGTGGCTGAATAATTCTGGGTTATAAAACATTTACAGGTTTGCTATAAGAAAAAAGAGAGAACATATGCAAATGTTTTTTTTACTAAAATTTTCAGTCAAGTTCAATCATCTTTTTTCCTGCCAAGAAGCAACTAACCTCCTCCCCTTTGTATTGTACAATGGGGATTGGGGATACATAGAATCAGAAAAATATGTACAACGCTACTGAGGAACCGTCATCTCATCCATAACCTAACTACACAAAATAGGATGGAACCCATTTAAGTTTAACCTATTCCTTTCTTCCTTCCCTCTCCATGCTTTGGTTTGGGTGATACCATCCTTTTGGCAGATCACTTGATTCCACTGAATTGCCTCGGTTCCTCTTGCTTAGGCCCTGTGATCAACAACTCAGCCCGTCCTCTCTGCCTCCCTATAAGCCCAGAAAAAGCCTGTCACCAAGTCCATGTCCAGCAACTGAGGCCCAACTTTCATCTCTGTGACCACCCCGGAATTCATCATTTCTCTCTTCTTCCCCCATGCATGTCCATCTTTCTTAGGTTGATGTTCTCCGCCATTGTTTCTTCCCTTTCTTTGGATTCAGCTTGAAAGGGCTCCAGCTTTTCCTGCGCTTCGAAGTCTCGCAGAACAGTCCGGAAGCCAGCGCCTGTTGTAGCCACAGCTCGAATTCTTCTTCGTCTTCATCCATCATCTCGGCATCCAAGTCCCATGGGTACCTTCCGGAACTCGACTGCTGTTTCTCTAGACCAACCATATTCACGTGGAAACTCGGCCTGTGCGTGTTAGGTCTGCAAGCCATTCCCTGCTCGTGGAGAAAAGAAAACTCGTCATTGTTCAGTGACTTGCGAGTTGCGACTCACCACATCCGCGTTGCATACAAACATAATTGCACGTGATAAAGACAAGTTTTCACCTGGCAGATAGCCCACTCAGAGACGTCAAATATCTTGCTCTCAGCACATACAAACGCACGGGGAATTTCCACCTACATGAATGCAGCAAAGCAAAAAAACATGAACACAAACAAATTTCACTATACAAGAAGCAGCAAGCATGGTATCAGGTATTCCAAAGATGAGAGCTTGTTAAGCCACTAACAACTTGAATATAATTTGAAATGTTAGGGGATTGCAACTAAGAGTTCGACATAGAGCTTATGTAGTTTGTACCTTTTCGGATGTAGCAAAACCCAATGAGCCCTTGTACTCAACCCAGCCATCGCCATCTTTGGCTTGATGGTATTGAGAACAATCCTGAGAGTAGATTACCAGTTCAAATCAGCAACACAAAAAATGAGCAACGACCTAACTTGCTACATGATAAGCGGCCACACATTTGGAAGCACTATGTAGCAACATCCAAATCACAGATAACTAGTAACAGAACACTGACCTGGCACCATCTTGCCTTGGTCTTACTCCTATTCGTGCACACCCATACGTGTGAGTTTCCACACTTTGTACACTGGATGCGCCTTGATTCCTCAGAGCAATAGTCTGGAGAATCCTGCTTACATGAGGATTATAGTTAGACAGCACTCCAGTTTTACTTCTCGATGACATCAGCAACCTAACTAAGAACTCATTCCAGCAAAACAATTTCTCAAAAAACAATTCTTTTTCTTTGCTTCAAACAAAGCCGGGGTACACCGTACACCTATTTCACATCAATTCTAAATTGCAAGCAATTCATAAAAACGCCATAGCACAAGGGACTTGTGAAAAACTATATTCAATATCAGTCGGTGACATCTATTATTAAATAGTTACCCTCTACCTGTGTTGAGGTACTATTGGACTTTTGACACACACTTCTAGTCCTCAGTTCATCCTTCCGCAATTGTTCATCATAATCCCGCTTCTTGGTGACATCAGAGAGAACCTAAAGATTATAATGCAAGAATGACATCAACTGACTACAGCATAGCTTGTACTGCAACAACTTTGTAAATTCAACAAAACGAGGTGAGAAAACTTTTCATCACTAATCAGATCCTTACCTCATATGCAGACTGAAGTTTCTTAAATGATTCACTTGCTAACGAGCTCCCCATATTTTTATCAGGATGCACAAGCATGGCCTACATAACCGAAGCATAAATTGTTAAAATGGAAAAGAACTAGGGAACTGCATATTACTTCTTCTTTTTTTCTTGACTATCAGTTCACTTAAGGGGGCCAAAGGCTCTTGGACTAGAAATACTTATAATTCAATCACAGAATAGGAAGTATCAGCCACTGCTTTAAAGTTCAAACACATTATAAGAAAAGTTATAGTAATGTACTCTTGCATTTGCATTAATGATGGTGGTCATTCAAGACATTAGCACTGTTTTCATCCTTCCTCAGAAAGAAGTAAAAACAGGGTTAAGACACAGATAAAAAGAGAGCTGAGTGAGATTCCAAACACCGAAAACAAAACATGTCTAGATCGAGAACATAGATTTCTTGAATCCAACTGACACTCAAGCAAAACAGAAGGTCAAACAGTATCTGGCTGAGTAGCGTAGTTACCTTCTTACGGTACTCCTTTTTTAAAATTGCCACATCAATCCGCTTGTGCCGAGGAAACCCAAGAGCTTCATAATGATCAACACTAGTTAAAATCCTCCTCATCTCATCAACTGAACTCGCTTCAACTCGAACTACCTTTCTAGTAGAAGACTCTGGTTGGTTACTAACAACTGAAGAAGTACCAGCTGGCTTGCTGGAAGATTTACATGACTGCACCTTTTCAGATGAATCAGTTGGAACCGAATAGTCACGATCTGGAGGAAAACCATCCTCTCGAAGTGTTTCAGGTTCTTTCTGCTCCTCCACGGGGACAGTCTCAGTGATATTATCACACCATTGCAGTAACAGATTCAATATGTCATTTGAGAAAAATGTGAGGTGTATTGACAGAAAAACACCATGCCACCCCACTCGAACTTGGACCAAATAGAGAGCATATATAGCCGCCATTAGGACCACCAACCTAGCGTGATTAAGTGAAAACAAATAACCTGCATTTACATAGTGTAAGGGGTTAGAACTTCCCGTGTGCTTCTAACTGGGACTCCAGAATTTCAGAAGTATGCAAAAATTTCATTGCAACAATTCAGTATATGCCATGAAAGAAAGATAGCTATACAAAGAAGTGCAATCTTAACACCGGAAGGTTGCAACTAAATCCCAGAAGAGAATTTCAATTTACAGGGAAATATTGATGAAAGTAGAATACAAAGCATAGAACACCACCTAACAATTTCACTCGTCTGCAAGCGCTTATGTCCTTATCTTCTCCTTTCCTACAATTCTGAAATATATCGGCTCTATGCTCAACTAAAAGCTACTAGCCTACTACCTCCTTCAAGTTATATGCACTTTACTCAATGTCACATCTAGCCTCGTAGGGAGAAACTGATTATCCTAGAAACATATTTCTGCAGGTCCTTCCTATGAGAAATGAGCTTTCAAATCTTTGTGATAGCATTGCTTCCTCGGTTAGTTTTGTTGCCCAAAGACTTATTTTACGCAATTATAATACATGTGTTATCATGACAAATGAATGGCTGATTCTCCTCAACTATTTACAAATTACGCTCTAATTGTTCTTACGCATGAGAATACCTGAAAACTAAATCACCTCAAGGGGAGAGTAAATTACAAAAATAAGAAAATCTACTATAATCAATGCACTCGGTAAGCGGAGACACCTAACAATCGCTACCCCAGTTCCTTGACAGGTAGCCAACACAAGGTTTTAGCCCTCATAAAACACCAAATAGAAAATATATGACAGATAAATCAATACACGTGCTGCATTGTAACTCATCAGCTTGGCATTAAAAAAATCGTGATTTGAAAAGAAACCATACCTCCAATTATAAACAACGTTCCTGTTATCCAAAAGTTAGCATACATCCATAGAGTTAATATAGCAACTAGTCCTACGATAAATAGCCCAGGGGTATAACCCAAGTATTGAACAGCAACTCCTGCAGCTCCCTGGAGGAGAACACCAAGTGTCAGTAGTTATCAGCTCAAACGCAACTTTGCCAACAAAATGAAGTGGAAACCAAGAAAAAGCTTACACATACTGACATGTAGAATAACATGCATCATCACTACATGAGACTACATCAAAATACAACACACAGTGGAAATGGAACAACTTAAGGGTTTGCACAGTTAGATGTAGCAGAGCAAGGAAAGGAGGAAGCAAATCAGACTTTCTGACATATTTTCCTCTATACATAGACACCACAAATCCCAAGTACTGAGTACAAAGCTTTGTTCATGCATGTCCAAACACTGAACCGACCAAACAGATTAACGTGGAATGATAGTCATCTCTATCACAAAGAAAGATCACATTGAGAATCACAGACCAAGAGATGCAAAGCCTAGCAACTACTCCTGAAAAGAAAAGCTTTAAGGTCCTCAAGTATCCTCATGTTTTCAGTGAGTTGGATATATTTACCACAGGTGGGCTTAGAAGCACTCACAGCAAGATGCAGAATTTTTGTTGCATATATCGCCTAAATTCTGACAAATCCAACCAGTCCTAGTACTAGTAACTTATCCACAATAAAAGATGTTCTTCACAATTAACATGCCCCAACTCATACAATACTCATTTTCTACAAGTTCAATAATTCATCATCATGGGAAAGCTGGGAAAACTGGGCAGAGGACAAGGAAGAGTGGGCATACCATGCTGAGCAGAACGTAAATCAAGCATGATATTGAAGTGAGACTAAGAAAGCAACTCCACATAATAAGAAGCAGAGCTGCCGAGCCCAGTCGAATAACCGATAGGAAACCCTTGACAGAGCATTCTTTCCAATAGATCAGCAAGAAAGTTATCAACTTCCCAAATCTGGCGAACCCACCACACACCGTCGGCCAATGGCGGTCTATAAGGACACTAGCCCTCTCTCTCACACACCCTGCTCCAGTTCTGACCCTCGAGCAAGTGTGCTTCTGCATTTGCAGCCATTGCCATGCTTGCTTAAACAACCCAATATCCTCCATTACACGCTAAAGTCCCCAAATTCCTCGAATCATAGAAATGCCCAGATCTCAGAGATCAATTTATCATCGATATCCGCCGATAGAAGCCCGAAACATCTCCCGCATCTCACCAGGCTGTGGAGGAAGTAGAAGAAACCGTGAGCCCGAAGCAGCAGGCAAATCAGGGAAGATGGGGAATGAACAGGATCACGTTCAACGCAAATTGCTTCACAAGAAAGCTTCCCAATAAAACCCCAAAAAAGCAGGACAATATCCGCCCCCTTTCTCTTTCAGCAAGTTGTCTTTGTCTCTATAGAAAAGCAAAATAAAACAAAAAGGAAACATTCGAATAGAAGAAAATAAAAGAAGAGAAAACCCACCATCGAGGAGGCGAGAAGTTCGCGGTTGCTGCAGTGTGCTATTAGGTCCTTCGATTCTGGAGAACTTACTTGCTCTCTGAACTCTGGGATGGAAATGACGAAAGGGTAAGCTAAGCAGCAGTAGCAGTCAGAGTAACAGTTGATTAGCATACATTTATCCCAAATACAAGGGTGGAAATTCGTGCAATGAGCTGCGTGAGCAATGGAATCGTAGACGTAATCCAGGAGGTAAACCTAGTGTCAGGCTTTTAACGCTATCACAGAGAGCTCGTGAGAGGAAAAGAGAGGAGAGACTTCGAAAAAGTTTCAAAAAGTGGATTTAAAGGAGAAGGTGGGACTTGGGAGGAGGACGAAGGTAGAGGAGAAGCAGATACAGAAAAAAAGTTAAAATAATTTGGAAGGAATTCTTTGGTCTCGTGTATGTCATTGAGACATTGACTCGTGGGCTCGTGGCCCATTTGACATAAGCCATTGGAAGGCAATTTTACCTAGTAGTACCCAATCTTTCTGATTCCGCCAACGAGGAAAATCCTCATAAACCGTAATTAACTAATTATTGTGTTGTGGAGCAATTTCATCTGATATTAATTCACTTCATTCAGTAACTTCTAATCTAATTCCAAATAATTTCCAATACATAATTCATTTACGAAATTCGCCGAAAATTTTATTTTTCAAGGTCTTGAACAAAATTTCTAATTGTGTAAGATTAGTATTTCTAATATCAAACTACATGTTGAAGAAGAAGAGGAACAATGAACAGTTGAACACTGTTGTCTCAATAAACGTCCAATCTCTGTTGCATTAGGAAAAACAACTTATTACATGCTTAGTAATTAATAATTAAGAGCCGGAAAGAGACCATTAATCCAAGTGGTAATCTCTTTCAAATCTTGAACATAAATTAATAATTAACAGCCAGGAGGGTTCATGATTCCAGTGATGACGGGCTTCACATTGGTGCACACAGCTTTGGCTGGCCCAGTGGTGCACTTGATGTCAATGTCGCACATCTCAACGTTGGTGCACGGATGAGCAGAGCTGCAAGTCATAGTTATGGCTTCCGGCAGCTTGCACGTCCCTCTGATGTTCTTGAAGCTCACATTGCTAATCGTCACCTTCGACGCGCCCTGCCGAAAAAAAAAAGAATTTTTTTTTAGATCATCGTAGTACGAATTCTTGATACGACATCAGAGTCTGTTGTTACGTACCTTGGACTTGCACAAATTGGAGGGGCAATACATCTGGTCGACGATGATGGGGTTATCGACGTTGTCCAACACAATGTCCTCAAAGTGGATGTCGGAGACGTCGTTGGCCTCCTGATCCGGCCACGACTTGATCCTGACGCCGTTCTGGGTGTTCACCAGCGTGCAGTTCCTGACGAAGATTCCCTTCACCGGCATCTCGCCGGCGTACTGCCCCAGGCTGCCGATGCTGATGCCGTGGCCCGGACCGCAGGTCACCCTCTCCACCGTCAGCTGCTCCATGCCGTCGCCCACGGAGATGCAGTCGTCGCCGGTGCCGATCTTGGTGTCGAGGATCTGCACGCCGTTGGATCTGCCGAGGTGGATCCCGTCGGTGTTGGGGCTGTCCGCCGGCGCGCAGACGGTGAACTTGCTGATCGTCAGGTTCTTGCAGCCCAATACGTTGACGTGGAATTCCTTGCTGTCTTTACTCGTCACGCCTTCCATGTGTCCGTTGGTGATAAAGTTGAACCTCAAATTCTAGGAAAACGACAAAAAAATAAATAAATATGGTAATAATAATTCGAGTTATTAAGACCAGTTGGTTTTATGGTAACGAGACGTTACCACGGCCTTTGATTTCTGCTTGCCGTAGATGGCGGAACCCATGCCGTCGAAAGTACCGGTGCCGGTCACGGCCAAGTTTTCGAAGCTGCAGAAGGTGATCCAGCTGTCGCCGTCGGGGCTGGTCGGAGCCTGGAGGGTGCCGTCGACTTGAAACGTGATTGGGCCCTTGCATGGGCCTTTGAATTCCACCACGCCGCACTTGTAGGTGCCGGCGGGGATCACAATGGTCGCACCGGTTGGTGATGCACAAGCGTCGGTCCAAGTCTTGGTTAGGATCTGGAAATTAGGGGGATTAATCGAACCAAGACAGATTAAGAAGTTTGTTAATTATGTAATTAGTGGGGGTAATTAATTATAGTAGATCATGTGATCGTGATGAAGGAAGGAGCTTATTACCGCAGTGATGTCGGAATTAGGAGTAGCGCCGCATTTTGTGATGTCGAAGACGGTTTGTGCATTGGCGATGGTGAGGAATCCGAGTAGTGCGATTAGTGAGCATAGTTTTATTTCCATGGTTGGAATTCTTGATTTGCTTTTGTAGCGATTGATTGATGATGAACACTCGATTTTCCCCTTTGATTATTCACTCTTTAATTATTGGTGTTTTTATTTATTGATGATGAAATGTATCTCTATGGTGAGTTCTTTTTATACTACTCGTGTTGGAGTACTAGCTGGCTAGAATGTACTCTTTTTCATGTGGTTGTAAGTCACTTTCGGGAAATTGGATATATGGTTTCTATGGCTATTGTTTCGGTTGATTTTTACCTCGTGTTTATATTGGGGTTTTTGGATTTTTTTTATTCAATCCAATTGTTTCGGTGTTGACTTCTTACATCTATTCTACATGTGTCTTCTCGAAATTATGTCGGAGTGAGTAGTAAAAAAATAAATCTTACGTGTACTCGTGACACTCAAAACCAAACAACTCAGGTTATGAAGCTAAAACAATTGTTTTTTTATATGACAAAGAAACCATCTATATCAAAAGCAGTAAGGCATTGATTAACAGCAATATAATAACTTCTCATTGGCGTATAGTACTATTTTTGTCAGTAAATTTAGGTATGCAATGAGTTATATCAACACAATTTTTTGTCTGAGTGGTTGTGGCATCAAAGTTTAAACTCATAAATTATGATTTCAAGAACCGTCAAGAGCAACCTTATTATTCCTTCTCCTCCTCGATCATCGAAGAATGGAATCTTAGTGATGAGCACTGTAACCATGTAAGTATGTTGTTCGCTCGTTGTTAAACAAAGAATGAACCTCACTTCCCCGTCGACTGCCACAAGTTTGTTAGTGAATTTAGGTATGCAATGAGTTATATCAACCCAATTTTTAGTACGAGTGGTTGTGGCATCAAAGTTTAAACTCATAAATTATGATTTCAAGAACCGTCAAGAGCAACCTTAGTATTCCTTCTCTTCCTCAATCATCGAAGAATGGAATCTTAGTGATGAGCACTGCAACCATTTAAGTACATGTTGTTCGCTCGTTGTTAAACAAAGAATGAACCTCACTTCCCCGTCGGCTGCCACAAGTTTGCATGCAAAGAGGGATTCCGCTATTGAGACTCGAACCCGGAGTTCCCTTTTGAGGAACGATTGGTTTATCATTGAATTTTACCAACTACAGCAAGATTATTGGTACATTTTTTATATCAAGTAATTATATTGTGAAAAATTGTTAGCATTTATGTATTATTTTATTTACACCGTGTTTTCATTTCATATAGTGGCCAATAAGACCATATATATTTACCGGTGGATTAGATCAAGTAAGTTATTGTGATGTGGACTGGATCTTTGGCAATGGTGGGATTGGATGGATTTTGATTTTAAAATGACTCACATGCTTATTAACGAGTTGATATAATTGTGATCTGTTATTCACTTACATTCTTTTCGAATTTGGTGGGTGGCGGAAGAGTGCAGTTTGTTTGTCGGTTAACCTGCAAAACAATTCTCCGACTACCCATTAAGAAAGTTGAGTACATTTATAATAAGGTCCTATCAATTAGTAAAAATGTATCAATTTGGATACTTCTGACTTTGTGTATTGTGGATTTGTATAGAAAAACCAATTGTGTAATGAAAACTAAAGCATTTTGTGACTTTGATACAATTAATAGTTTATAATATGAATTTCAATGTCTAATGTGCATTATACAACATAGTAATTGATAATAGCAGTACAAAATTATTCTTTATTCACCACTTTTAAAAGTAGATGGTCGGTGTATAGTGCAGGTAGGAAATATGATAACTATTCAGTATTCTATCACATTTATCAAGCCTGATTATTTTGCAATTTCATTTACAATGACACATGAGTAATTGTTCTCATCATTATTTTAGTAAGTATTGAAAATTATGATTTGAGTAAATTTGAAATTAAAAAAATACTCCGACTGATAATTAATAGGTGAATTAATTTTCAATTTCTACTATCAAGCTTGCTTGTTTTAATTGCAATTTCTACTGTCGAACCACAACCAATTATCCTTCTGAATTGATTTAACCTTTTAATTTATTCATTAATACATACTAGTTTAACAATATGGAACTAAATCAATTTGCTACCACGAGTTGCAAAAAAAAAAAAAAAATTTTGTTGGGTCTCCATAGTCCATCAATATATTTGACTAATCCTGATATCCCTGTATACGAGGTAGTTATTTATTAATCAAGATTTCTACTATCAAGCTTGCTTTTTTTGCAATTTTTACTGTCGAACCACAACCAAATACCCTTCTGAATTGATTTCACCTTTTAATCTCTTCATTAATACATACTAGTTTGACAATATGGAACTATATCAATTTGCTACCACGAGTTGCAAAATATAAAATAAAAATGTTGGGTCTCCATCAATATATTTGACTAATCCTGATATCCCTCCCTGTATGCGAGGTAGTCAATTATTAATCAATATTACTATAGTTAGCGAAAAGTTTTAGTAAATAAAAATGGGCTTAATTGCAAGTTTGGTCACTCGAATTGCTTAAAAATTTCACGTTTGCCACTCAAATTGATTTATTCCATTTATAGTCACTCGAATTAGTTGAACATTCCAAGTTTGGTCACTCTCCGTTAACCTCCGTTAGACTCCGTTAGTGACGACCGTTAAGTGATGATGTGGCTAACAGAAAGACACAGTCAGCATCTTTTAACATTAAAAAAGACGACCCGACCCGCCAGCTCAGCCTTACCCGCCCTGTCAGCCATTCTTGCCCAACCCGCGAACCAACCCAATTAATTGACCCTAAACCCAAACTCGAGACCCAACCCCCCTGAAAAGTAAATAAAAAACAGATGGTTAGGGCATTTCCCTTCCTCCATCTTCGTCCTCTCATCCTCCCGCGCCGCCTCTCTCCATCGCACACCTTCGAAAATCGTCGTCGAAGGGATGGAGGCCGCCGCGCTGCCGCATTGAATCCCTTCCCCTCCCGAATCGCCCTAACCATCTGTTTTCGATTTACAACCCAATTGGGCAAAGGAATGCTGCGATGAAGTGATGAACAGCCCGAGTTAGCCATTGCCCATCACCAATTAAACCCCAAAAAGAAATATTGACAGAGACGAACTTACTTGCAGGCCTGGACATGACGGCCTGGACCTTAAGGCCATGGCGCTGGGCCATCTCCAGAAGGTCGGAGTAACCTCCCCAGTTGTAAACCCCGGGAGCATCTCTCTCCACCAAACCCCACCACACATCCATCATAATCCCTTCCACGCCGGCGCTCTTCAGAGCCTGCAGGCTAACATTCATCGCCTTCCTCCGATTCACCGTGTTCTTCATCGTCACGCTGTCCAACGGCATCATCACGAACACCGGAACCCCCTTCCCGCCCTTCTTGCTCCTGCCTCCTTCCTCGTGCACCAACAGCTCGTCGCTCTCCGCCGCGAAGGCGAGGCACGCGGCGGACGGATCTGGCCTCGCGCCGCCGCCGATGATGGGGGATTTGCAGGGGCTGGCCGGTTGCGACCTCTGCTCCGCTCCTCCGTCTTCCTTCTGGATCTTGCAATTGATTGGCGCCGGAGATTGCCACACCGCCGCTGCAAGCGTTGAATCGCCCGAAGACACGGTGTCCTCGGCTCGGATTGGAGCCCCGACGACGGCTCCGATCTGGTGAGCCACGTTTTTCTTGCACTTCTCTGTTTGGGTTTCCATCCAACGCCGAATCTCCCTAACCATCTGTTTTCGATTTACTTTTCAGGGGGGTTGGGTCTCGGGTTTGGGTTTAGGGTCAATTAATTGGGTTGGTTCGCGGGTTGGGCAAGAATGGCTGACAGGGCGGGTAAGGCTGAGCTGGCGGGTCGGGTCGTCTTTTTTTAATGTTAAAATATGCTGACTGCGTCTTTCTGTTAGCCAAGTCATCACTTAACGGTCGTCACTAACGGAGTCTAACGGAGGTTAACGGAGAGTGACCAAACTTGGAATGTTCAACTAATTCGAGTGACTATAAATGGAATAAATCAATTTGAGTGGCAAACGTAAAATTTTTAAGCAATTCGAGTGACCAAACTTGCAATTAAGCCAATAAAAATGCAAAAGGAACTCTGCTGCCAGGACTTGAACCAGGAGTTCCCTTTAGAGGAACGATTAGCTTCTCAATTAATCAGCTACAGCGGATTGTTGATGTAAGTTTGCATCTTAGCTAGGAATGGCAATGTGCAGGTCCGGGGTGGGTATGTCGATACTCATACCCGCTACATGGTAGATCGGGTAATTTATTACGGGGCGTGGGTCGGGGCAGGTCGACCCAATGTGTATGTAATTTATGTGAAAATATTAGAAATATTCATTATTTTCATTAAAAGACCAAGAAAGAAACCATAATATGATAAAAGGTAGTTAAATTATTGAAAAATTTGAGATTTTCACTTATTTACAACTTTATTATAGCTAAATATAATGTGATAAGAGGAAAATGCTAAACAATTTGACTAAGATTATATGTAATTTAGGCAAGAACGGGTCGAAAATGGGGCGGGTCATGACAGGTCGGGTCGATGAGAGGTACCCATGCCCGCCCCGCCTACGGGGCGGGTTTGACCCGCTCCAAAACAGGCCAAACAGGTTGAGTAAATCTGGTCATGTCAAAATTGTCATCCCTATTCTTAGCCACTATTTTTATATTACTGTTTAATCTCACTTCTATAATCTATACACACTCTTCTCATATAATGAGTTAAAACAAAAAAAAAATTACAACTATGTTAGAGATTCTATTGCTATATGTATCTATAGTACTATAAATAACTTTTCAATTAAAAAATTAATTATATATTTATATTCTCAATAAGCTAAAGACACCCCTATCCCAGCTTCGACATACCTAACCACCAAGACTAAGTGGGGAGTCTTGGAGGGTTAAGTACATGCAGGGGCGGAACTAGGGACACCTGTAAATTTTGAAAAAGCGATTATTCAATTCCAAATAGTAATTTACGTATGGACAAAAATATAATTAATAGTTCGGGACACCCTGAAACTTAAAAAAATAATTATCCTATTCTCGTTGTTGTTTGCGTATGGGAATATAAGTGGTAGTTTGGGTAATTCAAAATCGGGACACTACTATTAATAATACTATAATTTGATTAATTTTCATTAGGCTACAACTTTTTGTTGTTCTATTTTAAACGTTATGTAATAGCAAAACTCTATTCTCTATCTTTAATTATTTTCAAAACCTAACTATTGATCTAATTACAACCTACCCTTAAATTTGTATTGATTTCATGGTGGTACAACAAGTATTGAAAGTGTCTTATCAACTTTGAGTTACATCAAGAACAAATTTAGAAGTAGAATATTTGTCAGTTCATGAGTGATTTTCTATTAGGATATACCGTAACAAATTTGTTTTGAGCAGTGTAGACACCAAGTGTATTTTACAAATTTTTTCAGAATATGAAAATACATCGTGGACTTTTTTAATTTGTACGAGTTGGATATTTTCTTATTTAAGAATTATTTAATTATTAATTATAATTTTTTCAAAGAGAACAATCTTATATAAAATTTCTGGGTCCGCCACTGAGTACATGGACATGTAGGCTTGACAGCAAGGATGTCTGGCAAGTTGGAAGAGGTTTAAAGCATTAAGACCAAAAGTTTGGAGTTATGGAGATGTAAGGCAAGGGGGCTAAAGTTCTCGTCTAATTAAAGTGGGTAACAAAGCTCTAGGAGTGTTCAAATAGTTACCATGGTTATTACCAAATCAAATAAGGTTAAATTTCATTAACCATGGAATACAATATCATAACCAAACCGTCCAAACTAATACAAGAACCAAATTAACTAAATTAAAGTTTAATCGGTTTGATTAATTGGTTAACCAGATTAACCAATATAAAATCACATTATCATTAAGTGAGAAAATTTCGGTTAATTTATCAAATCACAATTTATATAATGAATAAAATATAACAATCAAAACATAGTTATAGTTGACCCTTAGCATAAATACATGCAACTATGACAATTATCTTACGGTTAGTATAAAGTATTCACCTAACAAAAATTTATCACAATGGTATGGGTTAATGAATTTTTGTGTTTGTTTGAATTGACTTAGTCTTTTAGCAATTTTCATAGGCTGAAAAGGACCTTGCTTTCAAACTTTCATCCAACCTAATGTATGAGATTTATCTAAATTAGGCGTTCATATGTTGTGGTCTACACTATACATATACAAATATACATTATGTAACAATATCAAGCTTTATATTTTATGTCTAAAAGGGATGAACGTTTAACTCTTGAGTGGTTATTCAAAGTATCAAGTATGTGTATATATTAGATATATGGCTAATTATTTATCCGGTTAATTTGGTTTGGCTGGTTAGGAGTGTCTGAAACCAAACCAACCCACATAAACCAAACAAGCTAAAAACTTTAACCAAACCAAACCAATTAACCAAATTAACCAAACCAAATTATCCAAATAGTACTGGTTAAAACGGTTACCATAGTAACCACACCGTTTGAACACCCCTACAAAGTCCTAGCCAACAAGACCATATGGTTGATAAGATGAATAACAAATGGACTGAGTATGGACCGCCGAGCTGACATCAAAGTTCTGAAGGAGGCGACATGATCATCGTCGTCGCCATATGTTCTTGAGACGAATATCTCGTCGCCAAAACTAAATACAGACCGTCGTCTATAACGCGTCTCTCTAGCAATGTGAAACTGTATAATTAACAGCCAGGAGGGTTCATGATTCCAGTGATGACGGGCTTCACATTGGTGCACACAGCTTTGGCTGGCCCAGTGGTGCACTTGATGTCAATGTCGCACATCTCAACGTTGGTGCACGGATGAGCAGAGCTGCAAGTCATAGTTATGGCTTCCGGCAGCTTGCACGTCCCTCTAATGTTCTTGAAGCTCACATTGCTGATCGTCACCTTCGACGCGCCCTGCCGAATGTTTTTTTTTTTAAAGGAATTTTTTTTAGATCATCGTAGTAATACGAATTCTTGATACGACATCAGAGTCTGTTTGTTACGCGTACGTACCTTGGACTTGCACAAATTGGATGGGCAGTACATCTGGTCGACGATGATCGGGTTATCGACGTTGTCCAACACAATGTCCTCAAAATGGATGTCGGAGACGTCGTTGGCCTCCTGGTCGGGCCACGACTTGATCCTCACGCCGTTCTGGGTGTTGACCAGGGTGCAGTTCCTGACGAAGATTCCCTTCACCGGCATCTCGCCGGCGTACTGCCCCAGGCTTCCGATGCTGATGCCGTGTCCCGGACCGCAGGTCACCCTCTCCACCGTCAGCTGCTCCATGCCGTCGCCGACGGAGATGCAGTCGTCGCCGGTGCCGATCTTGGTGTCGAGGATCTGCACGCCGTTGGATCTGCCGAGGTGGATTCCGTCGGTGTTGGGGCTGTCCGCCGGGGCGCAGACGGTGAACTTGCTGATCGTCAGGTTCTTGCAGCCCAATACGTTGACGTGGAATTCCTTGCTGTCTTTGCTCGTCACGCCTTCCATGTGTCCGTTGGTGATAAAGTTGAACCTCAAATTCTAGGAAAACGACAAAAAAAAATATGGGTGATAATAATAATAATAATTCGAGTTATTGGGACCAGTTTGGTTTTATGGTAACGAGACGTACCACGGCCTTTGACTTCTGCTTGCCGTAGATGGCGGAACCCATGCCGTCGAAAGTACCGGTGCCGGTCACGGCCAAGTTTTCGAAGCTGCAGAAGGTGATCCAGCTGTCGCCGTCGGGGCTGGTCGGAGCCTGGAGGGTGCCGTCGACTTGAAACGTGATTGGTCCCTTGCATGGGCCTTTGAATTCCACCACGCCGCACTTGTAGGTGCCGGCGGGGATCACAATGGTCGCACCGGTTGGTGATGCACAAGCGTCGGTCCAAGTCTTGGTTAGGATCTGGAAATTAGGGGGATTAATCGAACCAAGGACAGATTAAGAAGTTTGTTAATTATGTAATTAGTGACGGTAATTAATTAGAGTAGATCATGTGATCGTGATGAAGGGAAGGAGCTTATTACCGCGGTGATGTCGGAATTAGGAGTAGCGCCGCATTTTGAGATGTCGAAGACGGTTTGTGCATTGGCGATGGTGAGGAATCCGAGTAGTGCGATTAGTGAGCATAGTTTTATTTCCATGGTTGGAATTCTTGATTTGCTTTGTAGCGATTGATTGATGATGAACACTCGATTTTCCCCTTTGATTATTCACTCTTTAATTATTGGTGTTTTTTTTATTGATGATGAAATGTATCTCTATGGTGAGTTCTTTTTATACTACTTGTGTTGGAGTACTAGCTAGCTAGAATGTGCACGTTTTCATGTGGTTGCAAGACATTTTCGGGGCATCGGAGATTGGGTTTAAAAATAGAGAGGTTGATGATTTCTTTGGCTATTGTTTTGCTTAATTTTCGCCTCGTGTTTATTTTGGGGTTTTTGAAATTTTTTATTCAATGTAATTGTTCCGGTGTTGATCGACTTCCTACATTTATTTTACATGTGTCTTCTTGGAATTATGCCGGAGTGAGTTGTAAGAAAATCAATTTTACATCTATTTATGTCAATTAAAATCAAACAATTCGAATTATGAAGCTAAAAAGGTATTATTGATATATGACAAATAAACCATCTATATCAAAGACATTGACCAACAACATTATATATAATAACCTCTCATTAGCCTAATTTTTATCAGTAAATCTAGATATGCAATGGATTGTATTAACACGATTTTTAGTCGAGTGGTTGTGACGTCGAAGTTTTTTTTTTTTTTTTGACAAAAGATAATCATATATATTGATTCAGAACGCAAGTTACACCCTGGAAAGCAGCCAGGTCTGCAAATCAAAAACACGACTCGCAGTCGGGAACAAAGAGAGGGCCTTTCTAGCCACCAAATGGGCTACCCTATTGTTACTCCGACCTACAAACCGAACTCTAAAACCTGGATGCGAGGAAAAACAAGACAAAACTTCTTCTAGCACCGCCCCCATCCGACTATCTCCCATATCTGACCGAATGATCTTATCAATAATAACCTTCGCATCCCCTTCAAAGCAGACATCCAAAAAACCATGTTCGAGACACCACCAAAGCGCCTCGCGCATCGCCAGCATCTCCACCACAAGAGGATCATCAATACAAGGGAAATGGACCCCACGGGCCATCAAAATATCTCTCCCGGGGGTTAAAAGCACCATCCCACCGGCAGAGTGGGACCCCTTCCGCGTCGCTCCATCCCACATACATACAACCGCCCCATGACTATTAATCTCCAGACTAACGGGAGCCAACCTCGGAGTAAAAATAGGGGTATCTCGCTCACCCTGAACATTTAGCCACTCATCCACTTGCTGGTTAAACTGACGCATCAAAGCCTGGAACCCGAACTGTTTTCCTTCAAAAACAACCCAATTCCGGGAGCGCCAGATCCTCCAAAGGATAGCAACCACAGCCATAAACAAACTCGGTTGTTGAATGAGAGCTAAAAATCGTTTAAGAAAAAGTTGTGACGTCGAAGTTAAAGAGCAACCTAAGTGCTCCTTATCTTCCTCCCTCACCTTAGCAAAACATTAAACTTTTATGCTTCCGGCTTCCCTGATGTATGTTGTTGGCTCGTTCTTAAACAAAGAATAAACCACCCTTCCCCGCCGGCTGCCACAAGTTTGCAGGCAAAAACGAATTCCGCTGCCGGGACTCGAACCCGGAGTTCCCTTTTGAGGAACGTTTGGTTTATCATTGATTTTTACCAGCTACAACGGATTATTGATACATTTTTGTAATTAACTAATTATATTGTGAAAAATCGTTAGCATTTATGTATTATTTTATTTACACCGTATTTTCACTTCATACAGTGGACCTATAAGACCATATTTACCGGTGGATTAGATCAAGTAAGCAATTGTGAGCTTTCTCTATCATTTGGGGTAAAAGAAGATATACTTGAGAGAGATTTGAGTAAACGGGCATTAGATTGGAAAAACATTATGGACAAAAGTTGAAACAAATAGTATGAAATGGGACGGTGGGAGAGTGGGGTAATTGGAGGTTCTCCAAAGTTTAGAGATTTAGGAGAAGGATATATATGAATGAAGAAAAGCAAACAAATAAAGGTTTTTAGTGGATTCTAGTGGTGGGTAACGGTTGGGTCGGGTGGATTTTGGTTTCAAATTGATCCGCACGCTTTATCTCGAGTTGATTTAATTGTGACGTGTTAGTCATCCACATTTTTCTTCGATTTGGATGGGTGACGGATGTGTGCGCGGTTGGTTTGTAGGTTAACTCGCAAAACAATTCTCCAACTACGTACGGACTACCCATTAATTAATTCAACAAATCTGGTAACTAATTACTATATGTATGTAGTACTATTATCTAAATTTTAATTGTATATTTATATTCTCTAGAACGATACCCCAGCTTCGACATTGAGATTTGGTACCTATCCACCAAAACTGAGTATGGAGGCTTGACATCAAGGATGTTTGGCAAGGTGGAAGAGGTATAAAGCATTGAGACCTAAGTATGGAGTTATATGGAGATGTAAGGTACGGGGGCCGAAGTTCTCGTGTCTAATTAAGGTGGGTAACAAAGTCCTAATCAACAAGACGATATGGTTGATATTTCATAAGATGAATAACAAATGGAATGAGTACCACCGAGGCATCAAAGTTGACAATAGGAGGCCCCGCCGGCAAGGGGGCGATGTGATCATGAATCTTTACTGGTTGAAAGCAACTATCAAGGCTGTTACTCACTTCGTGTCTATAAATATGAGAAACGAGGACATTTCGTCAAAATAAGCAATTGACACATCTCGTCAAGTCTCGTTTTTTTCTTCTTCTTCTTCTATAGTTATAGTTACAGAGCTCTCCTTCTGTGATTGATTTTCCGTGTAATTTGGTACAGATCTCATCTTATCAAACACTCTTGTTCAACATGTATGAACCATGATCATTTGTAATAAATTGAGCATAGATTAATCTCGTTGCTTCAATAAGGATGGAGATAACTAGGGCTGGCTATTTGGTCCTGGACTATTTAGTTTTACCCGAAACCGGACCCAGCTTAAATTTCCATCCCGTCATTTAAGCTTCAGTTGACTCAGCTGAAGTGACAAATTATGCTGATGTGCACGTTGATATGGACATTGCATTTTGACATGTCAGCAAAAATATAGAACCAAAACAATTTGAAAACCAATTCCTTTTATCTAGTTCAAAATAATAGCCATATATTTTATTTTTGTGCATAATAATGGCAAAAGATTTTGAAATACAACTTAATCTCATTTTTCTGCTAAAGTTAGCATCGGAGTTAACAAAATCAACACAAGTCCAACTATTTCGATACCTCAACACAAAATTAAATGATTTTTTTGGGTTAATTTTTTTTTTTTGATAATGGCGAAATTTATTAATAAAGAACAAAAAAGAGATATACAACGAAAAGGGAAAGAAACAGGTTCAAGAGGGAAGAACCTGGTTCCCAATCAGTACTCATAATACACAAGAAAAAACAGAAGCAAAAAGAAAAAAGAAGAAAGGAACAAAAGGCTTAACGGACTGGAAACCGTTCCTGCCGAGGAAGAAAGGTAAAGCAGCAAGACAGACTGAAACGTCCTTGCTGAAAGCACAAAACAGACAGCTAACAAAGCAAATATTAATGAAGAAACTCAGCAAGCCAAGAAGCTGCTTGCTCTTTGTCGATCTTATGATTAGCAATAAGCCAATGAACAACCATCCTGACTGATTTCCTAGCAATGATCATGGCAGTAGAACCAGTATTTTTGAATAACCTCTGATTCCTTTGCAACCAAACTGACCAAAAAATAGCATGAAGAATACTGACATTGAACCACTCGTCAATGCTGCTGGGTGACAAGGAGGGTCTATTGTTAATGGCAGAAGTAACGTTCATGTTACTGAGATTACTAATGGGTTAATTGCAAGGTTGGTCACTGAGATTACTAAAAACGTTCATGTTTGATCACTAAAAATATTTAATTTCATTGGTGGTCACTAACTTTAGTAAAACATGTTATGTTTGGTCACTCTTCGTCCAACTCCGTTAACTTTAGTTGATATGGCAGTCAACTCTTAAAGTTGACCGTTAAGTGTATGACGTGGCAATTTAAATTTAATAAAAATTTTAATTTAAAAAATTCCACCTCATTATCACTACGATTAAAAAAATATATATATTCATTTTAATTCCCTAAACCTCGCGAACTAAGCTCATCCCTCTTTCTCACCGTTGTTCTACCTTAAATTTCTAGCCCTTAGAAATCCCCAATCGTGGGTCACGGCGAGGGGGATGGGATGGTGAGCAGTCGGAGATGAAGGGTTGGTTGCGTCGGAGCAGCGGTGAAACCCGCGTTTGAAGTTGGTGAGCAAAGAAGAGGCGAGGTTGAGCTTTGTGTTCAAAATGAGCAAAGAATGGAACCGGGACCTAATTGACTTGGCACTTTTCATATGGATACTGATTGTTGCCATATCAGGTGCGCACTTACCAGAGGAGAAAACAGAAATTACATGCCAAGCTCCTCTCCTCACCCAATTAAACTCAAGAAACGAAACTTCTCTGAGACCAGCTGCGTCTTTTGATTCCCCCTCTCCCGCCTTTCACAAATGGCGACGGTGCAGCACTGAAAGTAGCTTTGATAACCGGCATAACTAGGCAAGACGCAGGACGGCTTTTACCTCACCGAATTCCTCCTCGCCGCCCAGTCCCACGTCGCCGTCTCCTTCGAAATCCCCGACTACACCGCCGACGTCGTCGCCACCGGCGACCCCTCCGCCTCCTCGAGGCCATCAGATCTAACCATCATCGACTCCTTGAGCAAGATAGTGGCATCGGTTAGTAAGAAGAGATTTTGCGTCGGAGCCCTTTATGTTGCCCGTCATGTTCGTAGGCCGGTTAGGAGAGCTCCACCTCTCCTCTTCTTCCATCACCAACTTGTGTCACCGCTGCTCGCCACTCCTTCCCCTTAGCCGCAGCTCAAAATTTGGGGGTATTGTGAGGGCTAGAAATCTCGGGTACGGTGAGAAAGAGAGGTGAGATTAGTTCGTTAGGTTGAGGGAATTAAAATGAATTTTTATTTTATTTTTTATGTTAATGGCAGTGATAATGAGTTGGAAATTTTAGAATTAATTTTTTATTAAATTTAAATTGCCACATCATACACTTAACGGTTAACTCTAAGAGTTGACTGCCACATCAACCAAACTCAACGGAAGTGGACGGAGAGTGGCCAAACATGATATGTTTTACTAAAGTTAGTGACCACGAATGAAATTAAATATGTTTAGTGACCAAACATGAACGTTTTTAGTAATATCAGTGACCAACCTTGCAATTAACCCAAATTTTTTTTATTTAATTTACAATATAGGTCCAAAATCTAGGATTCATAAAAAAACCAGCCTATGTTCAAAATTTTCCTTTGAAATTCTACTTATAATCCTTTCTGAGTCTCATACCATTAATCTCTCTCTACATTTTTGTCGTCTATTCCTACTACCCGACATCGAAAACCAGTCATATTCCGATTGCATTCAATATTTAAGTTTTTCGAAATTCGAAACACTTATTAAATAAAATCCAACATGTTGATATTCATACCACTCATGATAACCAATTTTTTTTTTTTTGGGATAAGATTGGTACGAAACTTGAGTCACCTTTATTTAATTGTGGATGCCCATGACTATTTCAACAAGGTACGTATTAGCTTGCAGTAGTACAAAATAACTATACGTCCATGGTTTTTCTTCAACCTAGAAGGCAAGTCCATAGTATTAATTGGCGGTTCCTGCAGGTTGATCCATCCACTTCTAGCCCCACGGAGAAGAGTTCAATAATGAACCCACAGAAACGGATCCGAAGGTGGAAAAGGTGGCCGGCGGCTGGAATCCGATGGATCAACTCAAACCAAAAAAACAAACAAAAAAAACAACAACAATATTACTGTGGTCTCTCAGACGCTGAAACTAACGAAAAGGAAGAAGAAAACAACAACGACAACCAACTCCAAAGTCGAAGGGATAAGCCTGCAGTTAGCTACTGTGCATAGAAGTACGAGAAACCTTATCCTCAACAACATCACACCACCATCATTAACCCAACCCAACGAAAGGATAACAGCAAAAAAAGCTGGGGAGAACAATTTTATATATATTCATTAGTTGTTTTTTTTTTCTTCTCCAAAATACCATATGAAAAAGTTATCATGTTACATACTATGGCCAAAAAAGAAAATATGTTACATTCTACGGCAAAACAGGAAATGTTACATCTTATAATCATAATTTGTGAAATCGTACCAGATTTGTTGATATGTAGTGATATAATTGTGATTTGATCAATAATAATATTATATATTTAAATGGATATATAGTGATGTACTATCAAGAGAAATCAACCGGTAAAATAGTTGTATGTAGTTCCGATGATCTGATCACCAGTACAATAATTAAAATACAAATATCTATTCATTATACATAAAATAGTATTATCGATCCAATCTAGGCATATTTTTTTTGTCCTGATTTGGGATGGTGGTAATATTATATATAAATCAGAAGACAAGTACAAAAATATTGTTTAATTCAAAGGAAGAAATGTAAATAATGCAATGAAAATATCAATTAGCATTATCCATATACATAGTTTGTCAAATTGGGCTAAGATTCTATCAGAATTTTTTTTGTAATTAAGTGTTACCAATTTGATGACATCCACTACTATCACTTTTCACCATCCTTGATCCTTTTCCATTCCATTATTACCTGATCAAGTAACTAAAACCAAGGATATATACCCACCTATACAACCTTATAAATAGCCCAAAAATGTCCAACTCTTACTCCTCATTTCCACACAGTTTCCCCTTCCAAAATACCATCATTTTTTTTCCGCTTGATTACAATTTACAAAACAAAACTACTGCACGTCTGTAACACAAACACAATCATGTTGGCGATATTCCACAAAGCCTGCGCCCACCCGCCGGAGGAACTCAACTCCCCGTCGTCGATCAAAAATAAGCCCAAGAAGCTACCGGAGGAGACCCTGACCGACTTCCTCTCCCGCAACCCGGAAAACTCCTCCTCCATCTCCTTCGGCAAGTCGGCCGCCGCCCTCGCCTACGTCCGCCCCGACAGCGTCCTGTCCCTCCGCCAGCAGCGGCTGTTCTGCGGCGTCGACGACATCTACTGCCTCTTCCTCGGAAGCTTGAACAACCTGTGCAGCCTCAACCGCCAGTACGGCCTCGCCAGCAAGTGCAGCAACGAGGCCATGCTCGTCATCGAGGCCTACCGCACCCTCCGCGACAGGGGGCCTTACCCCGCCGACCAGGTCGTCAAGGATCTCGACGGCACCTTCGCCTTCGTCATCTACGACAGCAAAAACGGCACCGTCTTTGTCGCCCTGGTGAGTGAAAATATACTCCTAATTATATATCCAACAACCGCTATAAGAAATTTTACTTTTTGCGACGAACATAGTAGTCGCTAAAAACCTATGCATACGTCTCAAAACAAATGGCGACGCATTTATAGGTTTCTTATGACAAAACATGAATGTAATCGTCGCAAAAACATACAGCGACGCGTATGACAATAAATTTTACATTTTGCAACAAATATATTCATCGCTAAAAATTAAAAACATATTAATACGTCTCAAAACATGCGGCGACTCGTTTATAGGATTTTTAGTGACTATTGAATTTCGCAACAACCACATTATTCGCTAAAAATCTATGCATACGTCCCCATATGTTTTTAGACGAATGTCTCTTTATTTTGTCACTAAAAAATTATAGATTCGTCGCTATATACCAAGTCTGATCGCCAAAGCCCAATACATGATTAAACCTTTACCACTGAGACAGTTCGTCGCCATAGACTAAGTCTGGTCGCCAAAGCCAATTACATACCGTCGCAAATGATTAAAACTTTAGCAAGGACTCAATTCGTCGCCAAAACCCAATATATTGTCGCAAAAGATCATCTTTTAGCAACCATATAAATCGTCGCAAATGATATAAAACCTTTAGCAACGACTTAATTCGTCGCAAAAGATATAAAAACAAATAGCGACGACATAATTCGTCGCAAAAGATAAAAAACCTTTAGCAACGACAAATTCGTCGCAAATGATATAAAAACCTTTAGCAACGATTTAGTTCGTCGCAAAAGATATAAACGAATTAGCGACGACTTAATTCGTCGCAAAAGATATAAACCCTTTAGCAACGACATAATTCGTCGCAAAAGATATAAACCATTAGCGACGCTATGTATGGTCGCAATTGGTCATTATCTTGGCCCACAACTGGTGGTTAATCGTTTGTTTGTGCTGTGGCAGGGCTCGGACGGCGGGGTGAAGCTGTACTGGGGAATCGCGGCGGACGGGTCGGTGGTGATCTGCGACGACGTGGAGGTGATCAAAGCCGGGTGCGCCAAGTCGTTCGCGCCGTTCCCGTCGGGGTTCATGTTCCACAGCGAAGGCGGGCTGATGAGCTTCGAGCATCCGATGCACAAGATAAGGGCGATGCCGAGAACCGACAGCGAAGGGGTGTTGTGTGGCGCGACGTTCAAAGTGGATTTGTATCAGCGGATAAACAGTTTGCCCAGAAACGGCAGCGCCGCTAATTGGACCGAATGGGACTCCCACTCCTAATTGAGATCAGACGGCCGCCGCTTCCCCGATTTCCGCCGCTTGCCTCCAATAATGGATTCCTTTCTCAGCTGCTTGTGCTGTCTTTTACTTTCTCCTGATAATAAATTGGTTTTGGCCTGTGACGTGTGAATATTGACAACCAATTTGTGAAGTTACTGATGAGAAAGTTTTGTTAATCTTTGGTAGATTATGTGCTCTTTTCAAAGATGTGCTAATGGATTGGTTCATCAATACTGAAAAAAATAGATTAAATTGATATTTGGATTGGATTAAAGTGGACCAAAACAAACCGAATGCACTATTGATTCAATTTTTGGTCATAAGATATCTTTCATTATTGAGTCACGGTTCCCCTAAATTTGGTCGGATTTGATTCGGGGTTGGCACTCATCAATGTATATTTGTGTTTCTTTGGTTTGGTTTCCTAAAATGATGTTTTCAACATTAATACCGATTACAGTGAATTTATGACTTAATTATTAATCGTAAAAATCATTATTTTACTAACCACACCATATAATTAATCACAATATTTAAGGATTGATACGATTTGCAGGTCATCCACAAACTACAAATCAAACTTCCACCCTAATTCCAGCCATAGCTCCTTTGAGACAAAACTATTCACCTAAGGGTTAAAACTAAAAAGTTAAAACAAACTAAGAGTGACAGAATATTCTACAGAGTACAGACCAAGGGTGTCAAATCTACCGTTGTGCAGATTTAGCAAGTGGAATGATACGACCGGTGGTATAACCAATTTGTGTCGATTCATGCCGATTTAATATCCAATATGTTTAATCATATATAAAACATATTTGTGGACAATTTAGTTACAATCCAACAAATATCATCAACTTTTTAACTATTACATTCATAAAATGAATAATAAATTAATTTTTATATTCATTAAATTTATTAAAATGATTTCATTTTACTTAGAATGCGTAAGTCGATCATACCGGTGGTGTCATGTCGGTTTCAAGACTGGCACAGGTTGAACCAGGTTCAACCGGGTGACATACCGGCGGCATGACAACCATGGTACAGACTATTGTATTAGGAGAAAAGAAACGGCGTCGTCTAAGAGCATGTTCGAGAATCGCGATTCGGTGGCCCGAGTTCCAAAGGCGCGAGTCGTCACCGGCGACCGCTGACGGAATGTCACAAATGCCGGACAAAGCAAAGGCGAAAAACAGAACGAGGCCAGGCGGGGGGAAAACCGCGAAAATGTCCGACCGTTTCTTTCCCAATCAATTCCCGGACTACGTACCACCACCAGAAGCAGCTATGGCGGGAGAAGAAGCTTCCTTTTCCAGAGGGGAGGACTCCCTCACCATGCTGCTCTCTCTTCCCCACCCAGCCCTCTCTGAAACACTCAAGCGATCGGCCTTGGACCTCAAAGATTCTGTAAGCTTTGTGCTTCTTCTTCCAACTTGGTCCTTACTTCTCTTTTCTCTTTCGTGTGACTCGAAAGATTCACCATTTCGGCACTCCCCGAGTATTAGTTTTTTTGGGTCTTCCTCAATTTTGAAGGATATTTTCCAAGACTTTGTAATAAAGGTTCAGATGCTGATTGATTGGGTCGTTTGTGATTATGGTTCAGGTAGTGAGGGAAACTTGGGAATTGAGTGGAAGGCGTGTCAAAGATCACACTTTGTACACGGGTGTGTTAGGGACTGCTTACCTACTGTTTAAGGCTTACCAAGCTACCAACAACTCCAATGATCTTAAGTTATGCTCTCAGATTATTGAGGCCTGTGACTCTGCCTCTGCTGATTCAAGGTATGCATCTAAAACACGAAATGATGCCCTTCTCCTGTTGTCCTGATTGCTTCTTGAGGGTGGCTCAATTGTTGATAGTTTCACTTGAAGCTTATAATCGAACTGAAAAATACTTAGCTGCTTGTCTACAAGTGGATTTAGATTCAATTTGTTTTAATGCTGACTCAGTTTGGAACTACACAGCCGTGTGACATTTATATGTGGGCGAGCTGGTGTTTGTGCTCTTGGTGCTGTCACTGCAAAACATGCTGGTGATGAGAGGCTGTTGAACTATTACCTTACACAGTTCAAACAGGTAGCTCAATACTTGCAATGTATAATTTCAAGTGGGAGCTAGTTGATTCAGTACTACCTGAGTTGTTAATTCACTTGATGTACTTGAGGAACAGATCAGACTTCCTACTGATTTGCCATACGAGCTACTGTATGGGAGAGCTGGCTACTTGTGGGCTTGTTCGTTTCTAAACCGGCATACCGGTGGAGAAACAATATCTGCCAGGCGCATGGTGAGGCATTACTAACTCCCCCCCACTTGTCTACTCGTGATGTGAAATTCGTCAGCTGACTTTCTTCTGTTAACTTTCTGCAGAGGGCAGTTGTTGATGAGATCATTATGGGTGGGAGAAGAATGGCCCAAAAGGGATGTCCTTTGATGTATGAGTGGCATGGAAAGAAGTACTGGGGTGCTGCCCATGGGGTGGCTGGTATCATGCACGTGCTAATGGATATGCAACTGAAACAAGATGAAATAGAGGATGTCAAGTCCACACTACGTTACATGATCATGAATCGTTTCCCCAGTGGTAACTACCCGTCGAGTCAAGGAAGTAACTCTGACCGTCTCGTACATTGGTGTCATGGTGCCCCTGGAGTTGCCCTTACCTTTGTCAAGGCAGCTGAGGTAATTTCTGGATCCCTTTTCCATGTTGTTACTCATAGCATAAAACACACATTTGATTCCACCAGTTGGCATGATTTGGTGACGCCAGTTGATTAAACAACCTTCCTCAATCAAATATATTCTTCCAACTTTATAATAATTCGGTGCATCACTTCAGGTGTTTGGGGACCAGGAGTTTGTGCAAGCTGCAATCGATGCAGGGGAGGTTGTTTGGAGTCGAGGTCTGCTTAAGAGAGTTGGTATATGCCATGGAATCAGTGGGAACACCTACGTCTTCCTTTCACTGTACCGATTAACCGGGGATCAAAAGTATCTACATCGAGCAAAGGCTTTTCTGTGCTTTCTATATGACAGAGGTCAGAGACTGATATCAGAGGGCAAGATGCACGGAGGTGATCGTCCATATTCGCTCTTTGAGGGCATTGGTGGAATGGCTCACCTCTTTCTCGACGCGGTTGACCCATCTCAAGCTAAGTTCCCTGCTTATGAACTCTGAAGTGTGCTGTAATGTGATGCCATGTTATGAAAGGACTTGGCATTTAGCAGCCGTATGTATATACCGAGACCAATGAAAGCTTTTGTCCTGTTATTTCATATCAGGTGTCGCTTTCTGTTAATGTGATGGAGAATTTGGAATAAAGGTAAACAGAGTCATTTTTATTAACTATCCATTCCTGGTTCCTGATTCATGCCTACTAATCTACAATGAGAAAGCCTTGTTTACAAGAACAAAAGCATCATAACTCTGACTCGCAAGAAATGACAATGCCGGGTGGTTGATGACACTTTCAGTCTTCAGAAGCTGCTTAGCGCCCTAGTCCGTCTCTAGGCCAAACCAACGAGCTTCTCGCTGACCTCCCACACTTTACGCGCCTTGTCAGCGTCACTAGCTTCCTGAGACAACTGGTTCTCAAACGAGGCCGAGTCCTTGTTCCAGCTCCAGTACACTCCTGATTTCGTCAAGCTAGGATCTGCAGCAACCTGAACCCAAGCAAGCCAGAAAAAAACATGTCAAGTAATTTCCTACACATCGGGACTCCATGTCAGATAACTATTGTTTCTTATGGTTTACCTGAGCAAGTCGCTTTCCAGCTTCATCTTCGGAGACATAGCCCTTGGTGATGTACTTCTGGAATGGAGGGAAGAGAAGCCTGAAGAGTGGAATGTGCTCCCTGAACAACCCAGTGGTCGCAATGCAGCCTGGATAGAGTGAAGCAAATGTGATCCCAGTTTCCTCATGGTACCGCCTGTGAAACTCCTGCATTGTCAGCATGTTGCAGACCTTGCTGTCCTTGTAAGCTTTCGCACCATCGAAGTCTCCACCATCGATCATGGCCGAGCTGTTCAGCCCGTTCAGTCCCCCTGCGAGCCCCCTCATGTCCCCCAAGTTGGCCTTTGGTGGTACATTTCCAGCCAGTGTATTTGTGTTTCCTGCAATTGATCCAACAGCAGAATTTAGCGCGTCAAGAACCACTTTGCAAAGTTATCATTCTCACATATTCATTCTAAAGCTTGTGTCCTTTCCACACCTGTAATTGAGCCAACGATGATTAGGCGTTTGGAGGGGTAATCAGACTTCTGCAAGTCGTCCATCAGGAGCCTCGAGAGCAGGAAGTGGCCGAGATGGTTAGTTCCAACGCTGAGCTCGAACCCGTCGGCTGTGAAAGTCGGCTCCTTGGCTGTTGGCTGGTACACAGCAGCATTGCAAACCAGAACATCGAGCGGCCTGCCCGACCTCCTGAAGCTCTCGACGAACTGGCGGACGCTGTCAAGCGAGGCAAGGTCCAGATGCATGACGGTGTAGCTTCCCTTGGCCATGCCGGCGGATTTGGCAGCCCGTTCGGCCTTGAGGAAGTCCCTGCAGGCCATGATTACGTGCCATTTCCCCGTCTCGGCTAGTGCCTTGGCCGTGGCTAGTCCAAGCCCAGAAGAAGCTCCAGTCACCACGACGCAGCCCTGCCTCAATGTTTTCTTCCCCTCTGGTGCTGACCTGTTCACTGCTGGGCTCGCTGTCGCCGTCGTCTGTGCCCTCACCGCCCCGATTCTGGCGTTGAATTCCCTCTGCTTGGTGGAAAAGCACTCACAAACGATCAACATATGGACTAAAAGCAAGATTGTTGGCTCAAGATGAAAACTTGCGAGAGACTACTTTGAATCTGAGTGCAGAGGAGGTGAAGTCAGCTTTGACGTGGTCAGAAAGTGACACTCCGAACAAGCTCGAGTCTTTGAATGAAGCAACAGCGCTTGATTTCCCCTGCAAATTAATGTCGTCACAATCGTCAGCCACCTGCGAAATGGGAATGGTGGGGGGTTGTGTTGATTCAATGAGAAAGAAGAGAGACTAAACTGACCTCCTTGTGGACGATGAAAGCAGAGGAAACCAGGGATGCAGACTGGAGCGCCATTTCTCTGTGACCTGCAACTTAGTCAGTGGCAGCAAGAGGCAGAGAAGAGGTGGAAGTAGATTGTTTTTGGAGGGATGGATGATATTTGTTTATATAGGTGGATGGTTCTTGTCAGATATTCGACAAAGCGGCCATCAAAATATCGTTATCTTGTAAAACCCAGAATCGTGAAACTGGATAAGATAATCAGCCATGCTCGCGTGGCAGCCACGTCGGATCCCGGTTAGCCAATCAGGTTTCGAGGACTGGATTTCCCCCTATCCTACGTGTTTTGGATTGATTGGGCTTTTTGAAATCCTGTTGGGCAAAGGTTGGCCCGCTTCCCCAAAAGGAAATCCCAATCCTAAGTAATAATAGTAGGTTGTGGAAGGATGGGCAGACTGGAATCATGGGATGGGATGTGGGGAGGGAAAATGCCAGAAACGGGAAAGGAAGGATGGGAACAATGAAATGGTACAGAGACTGGCAGATGCATCCTTTCCAGGATTATGGGTTGACATTATGTCTTGGCTCCGTGGCAGCGAATTCGGCTGCAGTAAAATCGTTGGATCGAACGTTCTGTGATTTAGTCGTTTAGAAGATTATCATCTTAAACTTTCAACAAATGATGTCAGCACGTGCTTATTGAAATCACCTATAACCAGAATAACCGAATTGCACAACTTTCTGGGTTATGCATTTTCCACAGCAGCAGATGGCAAGCAAGTGGTAACCCTTTAATGGGTTTAGGATGCTTAAGTTGACAATTACTGTGGAATGATGACTGTGCATTACAGTGCATCTGCTTAGATTACAGAGAGTTAATATAATCACGTGATGATATTCTCTTAGCCATGATGATTTCAACGGGACAGGTTGGCTGAGAGGGAATTTTGTCTGCCTGGATACCTTCAATTAGTTAGTGGATTGTACGATTTAGGAGGATTACAGAGGAGCCCTATGCTTATTTATGAACATGGTCCACCGACTAACTTTGAGAAATCCAGTCCATAATGTAGCATTGGATGCCAAAAAGCTGTGTTTTTGGGTTATTTCAATAACCCATTTCCATTTCAGCTAATCTTTTGTATACTATAATCTAGTTGTTCGATTGCTTCTAAGCTTTATCAACGCAATGCAAGAGTTTTCAAAGACAAGAAAGAAAGTATAGCCACTACAACTGCACAAATTAGCTATTCAATTTGCGAATGGGCAGCTTTCCACAAGGAGGTCTCTGGCAACGAAATTCAAGCACTTCATACAATGCTCATTGGTTGCAACAACAACCCCTCCTTTCAGCCTCCTTGAAATGTTTATCTTATAATTGTTCTGGTTCTTACATTTTTCTTTATGTAATCATCAGGAGCTAGTCCATTTCTTATGGACCCTCCACCTTTAAGATGAATAAAATTTTAGCATCAATTCATCAAAAAAAAAGCTTTATCAACGCAAGCTCATACACCTCTCAATATCCTTGAACCAAAAACACCATATCCAGAAAAAGAATGTGAAAGAATTTTCATTTTGTAATGAACTCAACTCTACAAATTCCCGACAATTACAATTTTTGTTTGGTTTCTAACAATTCACGGTGTAGTTCCTGACTTTTTCTTTTCCACCTCTATGTTGGCTTTTGCCATCCTCTTCTAACCCCGAAAGGCAAAACTCTATAGCTTCCCTTTCCATTCCCTTCTTTTCCCTGTGCTCGATCGGAAATGGATACCTAAATCTTGTACCCATCTCCAACTTCAAACAAGCACCAAAACCAGTAACAAAAAGAAAAAAGAACCATAACCCACCAAGGGAAAAAAATGAAACAATCGACCACCACCCGCCTAAAAATATTACACAAATCTCATCAAAATGATCCCCACCCTCCCTCCCTGTACACAACTTCACCTGCTGCCTTTGTGGCAAACTGGACTGTACTTTGGTTCTTCGGCTGCTCTTCCTTCACTTCACTTCCATCAGATTCGAACAGGCAAACCGAAGTTCTGGTAAGTTCGGATCTCCCCTCTGAGGCCAGCAGTAACAATGACCATCCCGTAAGCTGCTGACATGTTCTGGTTGATCAGCCCGTTGCTCACGTCCACGCTAGTTCGAGGGCTCCGTGCTCTAGCAGCAGCTGCATTCAATTTCTCTTCCGGCCACGTAGCCGAGATCCTGTCGAAGAAGTATCCGTTCGTTGCACTGGAGATGATTCCGTTCAGTGGGCTGCTGCTGATGGCGGCACCACCTGGCAATGATTGAGAGCGATCGTCGCTCCCTCTGATTGCTTCCTCCACGGGCGTGGGAGGATGGTTGTTGGTGATGGTGGTGGAGACTTCTTCAATATGGATATCGCCAGGTGTTGTTGCTAGGTGTTCTCCTCCTCCCCAGGTGTCGCCGACGGCTACTCCAGGCCAGGGGATGGCTACAGAAACATCTTGGCAGTGGAAATGCTCGTACGATCGAGTGACGGTAACTCCTTTGCTTCTGGTCAGTCGTGAATCGGCCTCGTGCTTCCAGACGTACACGCAGGAGTCCTCGCTTGCTGAGACGATGAATTTGCCGTTTGCTGCGAGGGAGGCTGAGATTTGACTGTTTGTGTTCCGAAACCCTGCAGAGCAAGTAATTTAAGTCTCAAATAATTAGAGTAGGCAACAAGAAAAAGGCCAACTATTTAGCCTAATATCATCTACGGTAAGCTGACAAAGTGACCGTTCTTAAGGGATGAACATAATTTCACTACCTCAGGTTGCTAGGCAACTATTCTTCCGTACATCAGTAATTGTAAACAGACAATTTCAGTTTCCAGATCACCCCATGTTTTCTTTACTACAAACAGAACCCTTAGCAGTTGGATTCCTACTTCATAAGGAAAGCCAAAGAGGGCACACAACTGAATGCATGACAGTCCAGACAACAACTGCTAAATTACTGAAGAAACCGCAAATCTGTAGAACACTTATTAGCCATGTTACCGGAAACAACTCTCCAATCCATTGAATGTTGAATGTTATAGCTTCTTTTCATCAAATAAAATCTACCAAGTTTTTTTTTCTTTTTTCTTTTCTTGAAACAGCACTACCCATCTTCTCTGGGTACGTCTTATGTAGTGACACATTGGCTGCACTCTGTCGCTATTGCTACAAGAGACATGTGTTTTGCACACCTAGACAAGAGCTGCAAGTCACAGCACCAACGGTACAGATGTCTAGGTACGTGGACAATCTTTGACAACAGATCTAACAAATTAGATCTTAGCATGCTCATCACAAGGTGATGGAAAATAAGAAGATACTGTTCAAGAATGGTCTAGCACCTAATTATTCATTGTGTTTATTACTACAAATGTATTCTACTAATGTTATTACTTTTATGTTTGGTTTAGAAATACTTGTCCTAGTAGGATCTTTGTAGGCCAAATCTGTAGTTTTTTCTAACAATACTCCAGTTTCATAGGCAGAAAGGCAAGGGTTACTTGAATGTGAAACTTAGCTTTATGCTACTGAGTTGTATGATGCCATTCTCCTTCAGGGTGATACCTAAAATCCTGTTACCTGGAATGTGTAGCACGACTTCAAGCAACTCAAAGGTTAGTTTTTATGTTTGCTTAAACCCTAAGTCAGAACTATTTAACGTCTAGCCTGACAGAATCAGCCTCTCAAGAACCCAAAATCCCCAGTCAATAGAAGTTGGCCTAGTGCAGTAGGGGAACTAAAAATTATCGACCCAATTTATATTCAAATCTCAAAAAGAACATTGCCTATTGAACAAAACAAATACCAAAAACCCCTGATCACACATCACTTGGTTCATACCATACAAAAAGTCTAATACTGCATCAAATCAATACAAAATAATTATCGGTTAAAATGATTCCTTCAGAAAAGAAACTACAACCATTTACCTTTGAACTTGTGAACCAAATCAGTGCGATCAATGACTCGTATCCGAGAATCTGCTGAGGTGATGAGCACTTCAGATGAGCTTCCAGGCACAAACTATTCAAAAGAAACAAGCCACAAATTAGTGGTTGAAATTTGAAGATTACTGGTCCTGACTTGCCGCAATCAGGTATGCACTTAGCCTCAAACATAATAACAAAACAAGAGGAAATCAGCCAGTAAAAGAACAATGGTCCATCATCTGGTCAAATTGTCATTAACTAAGGAGTTATACAAAAGGGTGAACATTACCTGAAACCCAGTAATTTTCTTCAGATGAGATTTCTTCTTTTTGTTTTGCAGATTTACTTGAGATTTTTGCTGCAACTTATTCTCTGAAGAGGAAGGCCATATAAGTATTAGCAGTTAGCAGGACTAGCTCTCAGCAAAGACAGTAAGTAAAATCAAGTTGTACCAGATGTATTGTATAGCCGACAGCCTCCCTTATAGGAACCAACAAGTGCACCCTTCATATGCCAAGAGAAACTTTCCATTTAGAATCACTAATGCTGATAAATTCTACACAAAGTATACATTAGATCTGGTCCTACCTGACCATCTGGAGTGTAGCAAGCTGCAGTGACCATCTCATGTACGTCATTCCAGTCAACGACTTGACGATCAGGAATACTCCATATGCGAACCTTTGAGTCTAGGGACCCACTAATGAAGTAGCTATCATCAACCGGATTGAATTGGATGCAAGTAACTGGCAATTAAAAATCCAGCATAGCATAATATGAGACATGGCTAATAAGTTCATTGAAAGAAACGAAATGGTTCCATAAAGTAACAAAATCAAAATATTCCTTCCTTGGTTTCAGCTTCCACATGGAAACTATCTTCAAAAGCCCATTCTTAATATCATCACACCATTATCACTCTTAACAGAAAATGGTAACCTTCAACCCTTTTTTGCTTGGATAGAAATTAAAGCCATCTCAGACCTCGAATACGTTGGCATTAAAGATGTATAAAATCTGTATTACCCATCAATGAAACGAAGGGGAAAAAATATTTACCATAGTCACTGTGTGAGAATATCTTCAAACAAGTCTTGCTAGACAAGTGCCAGAGGCGCACTGTTTTGTCCATTGAAGAAGAAAGCAGGTGCTGGAGGGCATAAAACAGAACTATATCAGCATCTTTCAGAGGAATCTCTTGTAGTTATATCCTTCAGTCCTAAACTTAGAAACTCAAAGTTCACAGCACCAAGATGTGCTAAATAAACCAATTTGCGGGCAAATGGACATTGGAAATCAAGCAAAAAAAAGGTCCCCCGGATTGAAGCTGAACCCATATCTTGTACAACTTTAGAGTTTTAGCATATGGTTTTCATGCAAGGAATAATACTAAACCCTAACTGACATAAATGCTGCTGAGCAATGAAGAAAATTTATATACTAAATCTTTCTTCTCCTGAAATTTGGAAACATGAAGGGTGCAGGAGTCATTAACTCTGATATAATAAATCAAACAAGACAGCAACACAGGAACATCCTAACTGGCCTAAACTTCACATAAAACAGAAGTGCCAATGATGACTGATTTTAAGGCAGTATCAGTAAGAATGAGCTCTTAGAAAGAAACTTCTCCTGGACACACACAGACACACTATAATAGATGTTCACAATTCAAAATAGGGCTGACATGAACCGATGGCATTGCTAGAGAGTAGAAGCGAAAACACTGTTCTTGACCCTATGGAACCAGAGAAGAGATAGCCATGCAAGATATTTAATGGAGAATGATCAAATGTGAATGCTAGAAGAGGACAAGCAAGTTTCATTTCATGGGATAGTTACCAACCTGAGACTTGGACCATGATAAGTCGAGGACATCAGCAAGATGTCCTTCAAATGAGCAAAAAGGTTTATCTGCAAGTGCAAACACAGTTTCGGGAACGATGATGTGCTCCAAGCTCACAGATTTCCTGCTTATAGATGACCTCGCCCTTCTCCTCCTTTCATTATGACCATCAGCAGAAGTTGACAAGAACATAGGTTCAGGAGACCCATTTACTGTTACTAAAAGATTAAAGTTCCCATCCTCTGGCTTTTCAAGCAACAACTCCCCTTTCCTTTCTGTTTCCACCACCTGCCAAATATGGATCACACAGTCCTCACCTGCACTTGCCAAATATCTACCATCCAAACTAAACTTAATAGCCCAAATTGAACCAGTATGCCCCTGAATCTCCTGGCTCTTGTAAACTGCAGTCAGCTCTTTAAATGACTTGCCGTATTGCTTTACTCGCACTCTTTCTGGCCCATGGAATGAAACATCCTGGCTATCATCTGTAGCAGAACTTGACCTCCTGCCTCCTCTCTCTGATCCAGTATCCTTCTCATCACTACTTCTTCGCTCCTTATGACCTTTCACACTGCTAGCCACATTTTTTATGCTCCTGAACCAACTACCTTTCTTTTTCGGCTTTGACCCTCCAGCTCCAATACCCCCATTGGCATTGGAGTCATGATTTTCCCTAGCACCATCCTCAACATTCTGTCTCCTCATTAATTCTTGCACGATTGGTGAATGACCCACAGTCATTTCAAATTCCTCCATCGTCAGCTGCCTCCCCGTCCCAACTTCTTTCAACTTGTTGCACGCTCCATCTTCCCTAACTTCATTAACAACAAATTCTTTCCCAGTATCAAGATTCTTGATTGTACAAGCTTGGGTTAGCTCTGCTGCTCCATTATCATTCCCATTGCTAACTAAACCCTCCATGAGCTCCGCAATGCTTGTGTTTGACCAACTCCTATTCACATCCATGCTCCTACCATGTTTACCAGAAGGAGGCTTACTAGGGGAAACATCAGAAGGCTGCGGGGAGCAAAGATTTAAGTGCTTTGTGCCACTGCCGCCGACAAAGCCATTCTTCTTCTTCTTGCCGTTGGCAACTACTACTGTCTTGTCATTGTGATCGTTGTCGTTGTTACATCTATTTACATCAATCACATCGCCGGAAAGAATTGAAGTAGAATAAACAGACACCAAAGAAGAATAAGAAGAAGAGGAGGAAAAGGACGAGCAGGAATTGAAATCATCATTACAGGTTGTGCCAGCCCCGTCATTGTCGCCCTCACCGTCACCATCCCGGCGATCCGCACCTCCGTCAGATTTCGATCGGGAAACCCCAGCAGCAGCAGCAGCACTGGAAGCCAAGCGTCGGGGCGGGAAATGATCGGAGTAGACAGAACGAGCAAAGCTCAAATCAACAGACCTGTCAGGCTGGCGGCGGGACAAGGAAGAAGATTCCTCCGAGGATAGCCCCATCTGGCTGAACAGACGGTGCCGGCGCTCGGAGACGGAGGAGGGCTCGGAGATCCAGACGTCGTAGCTGGAGGAGAAGCCGAATTGCGCTTGAGACTGAGGAGGCGGATTGGCAGCGGCGGAATCGTTGGAGCCGGTGGCGGAGGGAGGGTCGGGATCGGAGTCGGAATTGGAAGTGGAGCAAGAGCAGGATGAGGAAGCAATGCGATCCAGCGACTCGTAGAATCGCTCGTCCTCCTCCTCATCTTCTCCGCCGCCGGCTTCCCTACCGCTGCTGCTGACTCTGTTGTTGTTGTCTCTGCCGTCGCGTTTCTCGTTCATCGCCTAATCTGGCGGCGGGCGGCGGGCGGCGGCGGCGGCGGCGGAAGAGGGGGAGTGAAGACGTGAGTCATCTATCTTTCTCCGCCGGTCATTTCGGTTTCACTTCGCTTCCCCCGCTCACGGGGAAAACGAAATGCCCCAATCCCGAATCCGAGCCCGAGAATCTCGTTTTCGTTTCCCTTGTGAGGATCTGTGAGAACTCGGAGAGGAGAAACGAGATAGAGATCCGGTGAGAGAAAGTGGGGAAAAGGGGAACGGATTGCTAGGCTGAATGTGGGGAGATTACAGATAATGGCGCTGATGGCTGCCGCCTGCCGGTGGGGGGAAGAAGAAGAAGGAAGAAGGACGAGAGAGGAGAAAGAGGGATCGTGTGTGGGAGTCTGGTCTGTTTTTTGTTTTCTTTTTCTTTAAATTTGATTAATTATTTTAATTTAAATTTTGTTTTGCTGTGTGTGTTGAGCTGGAGAGAAAGAGGGAAATAAATATGTTCTTTCTCTTTGGGGCTGGTTCTGTCTTAAGTATATGATTGTGAGAGAGAGAGGAAGAGGGGATTGATTCTTCTTGGGACGTTGCCGGCTTTACCTTCTTCCCTTCTTTCTCTTTTCCTTCCCCTCTTGTTCTTCTTTCCCTTTTTCGAGTTGTTCCCATGGGGAGGAGGCTCTTTGTTCTATTTTCCCTTTCACCGCCCATTATTGAATAACCACAAGGTAGTAATGTTGGGTTTCCCAGTTAGTTAAATTTCATGTTGCAAAATGAGGAAACCACTTACAAATTGGACTTGTAAAATAATTAGGGTAATATTTTTGTCTTTTTTTCCTACGTGGTCGTGTTTATTTAGTTTTTTCTTTATTTACATGGTCTCGAATATTTTTATCGAACAAAGATCTGTTAAGACAAATCCAGGTAAACCGAATGATGAACAAAACGAGATATAATAGAAATAAATAACACTCACTTCCCATAACGCTATAACACCGAAAAGCAGTGGCGGACCCAGAAATTTAATCAAGAGTATTCAACAATAAATCAAAATCTCTAAGAGTTGTCAAATAGTCTCGAATTCAAACCATCACAAAAAATGAAATTTTGCACAAATATATTGTCCAAAAACTTTGATTCAAGGTTTGTCAATTGACAAACCATTTAACCACTTAGGTCCGCCCTGCCGAACGGGACGGGTTAAAATTATCATCTGAGTTGATTAACCTCCGTCAAATCATGGCATCATCATTGTAGTTAAGCCATTCTTCGTTGTTATTAGGCCCTCGGGGCGGGCTGTGCTAGTGGCCCATGGGTGATGGGCCTGGGCCTATTGCCAGCCATTCGAATCATGAGAACGCCCGCCCACGGCCCACCTCTCAATAAAATTAAGCTCGTCATTGGTTGGCCTACGTATCATTATACGCCTTTCTCGACCAGGAAAATAATTATTAAGGATTTAATAATCGTTAATTTCTATTTTAAGAATAAAAAAAAAACTGCGTTACAGTTACATATAACGTGGAGCCGCATAGAAGAGAAAAAGCAAAGTAATTAGGAACGTGAAAACCAATTAGGAGTCAACACGGCAGCATCATCAATTTCGAATCAATTCAAGAATTTCTTAATCCAACTCGAGAGGGAAGGAGAACGTGCACTTCACTTAATTCATACGTTACAGCTGGACGAATACACATAAAACGCAGCGTACAGAAACAAACTCAGATCGGAGTATAGGCTCCCAAATCGCCGCCGGCTCCGGCGCCTTCCTCCTCCTCCTCCTCCTCCGACCAGCAGCCATTCAACTTGGAAGCAAAGCTGGAGACCATAATGAAAGCCGCTCCACCCTGAAAAACCCCAAATCTCAGGGTCTCACAACGAGCATCTTCCGTGAATATGAACCTGTAATCGGTCCGCTGCGCATTCTTCACCGAACCCACCAGCAAACAAGCCTCTGCCCCCAGAAATGCAGTCCTGCGTTCGCGCGCATCCATCGATTTAGTTTATGGATGAATTAATCATAAAAAAAAAACATCCCAATTTTTCACAACTCACCAGCAGATCGCGGCGGAAAGGACTGCGCGGCAGCGGTGCTTGTTGGAAGCGTTTCTGTTGAGGAAGAAGCAGGTGAGGAACTGACCGGCGAGTAGCAGGCCGAAGGCGGCAGCTCCCAAGATCGTTGCGATGTTGGAATCGTAGACGCAGTAGTAGTAGTCGTATTTGCTGTCAATCACAACCTTAGCCTGAAATTGTCTCAAAGGAGTTTTAAGGAAAGCAAAAAAAAGTCAAGGGAGTTTGGGGATGAAGACGATTGAAGAAGGGAGGAGGCGGCGGCGCTTACGGTACTTCGGGTCTGCTCTGCAGCGAGAGCAAGCAGGAAAGCTACGAAATCCAGAACAAACACCGCCGTGAACAGCGTCGTGGACGCCATGATCTGATTTCTCTTTGTAGTGGGCTAGACTGGATGATGGTGGTGTACTAATTTGGATCCAATTCTTCTTCTTTTTTGTGTGCTGCGGAAGAAGAAATCATGCCGTTGACTTCACCACACCCGACCCGACCCGACCCGATACCATTCTATTTGTTTATCTTTGCCTTTGCTCTAAAAAGCCCAAAATTTATCTTTCTGCATAAACTCCTTAAGTTTCATTCTTTGTGTTAAAGTCATGAGCCTCATTCCAGCAGTGTGATTTCGAAGGTGAAACAGCCTAACATAAGTTGGTGAAACATCAGTTGCTAGTCATATTTGCAGCTTTACCCACCAGCACCCTGGCGAGAAACAAATTGATATAGAAAGAAAGGCGTTGCTGAATAGTAGTCATCAGTTCTTTGCAATACAGAGCACAAAAAAAGGATTTTGCAAATCACAGTGGTGGAGGAGAAACAAACCATGAATAAGACTTAGAATGGACAACCTACCAACAAGGCAACAACTAAATCAACACATCAATGCAATCTGAAAGCCCATATAGCAGAGCAGAGTCATATGTGAACATCATATATTTAAGGTATCAGGGGAAGGGTTTTAATCAAATCCCAACATTGCAGCAGCTAAACTCATTTGTAGGTTCCCATCCCAACTCCAGTTTCTCTGCCATACTGGTTGGAGCCACCACCTCTGGCCTTGGAGTAGGAAACGTAGTAGAACTCGGAGACGATGGCTGTAAAGAGAGTGAAAGCTGCTCCAGCTGCAAAAACTCCCTTCCTCAGGGTCTGGCAAGTCGGAGGGTCGGCACCAAAGATTGCCCTATTGTTCCTGTACTTGGTGTGGTAGGCATTCCTCACCGAACCCGCCAGCAAGCAGGCCTCCGCCACAAGGAAGAACAACCTGCGAAATAGGAACGAGTTTACAGACCGCGTTCAGCAGAATAAATGGATAGCCATAAGTTTGCAACTTAAGGAGGAATAGGTGAACACACCAGCAGATTAGGAAGAGCATGACTGCACAAGCCCTGGAGCCACTAGGGTTCATGGCCCTTCCGCAGCAGAAGCATTTGCTTGCTACCATTATAATGACCTGGCTGGCCAAAAGGAACAAGAATGCTCCCACGCCAAAACCGGTTGAGATGTCCGAGTCATATACACAGTAGTTGTAGTCCTTCTCTTGATCTGCTGTAATTTTAGCCTGTAAACAAACCCATCAACAACTTTGTTAATACCTCAACAGGGCTAGCTAGAGAGTATGCTTTCAGACACTTGATGATAAGAACCAATACCAATCAACAACTCATTATTCCTGTCATCCAAATCAATCAACGTGGCTGATTGTCTAAGTTAAGCAGCTGAGTCCTAAAAATTTACTATTGAGTATTGACATCAGGCAAACGCATCCAAGTTTGATAACACATTTCCATGCCTGCAGAACAAAGGAGGCCCGGAGGGAATCCCCTTCCTTAGATTCGTCACATATGCCAGTTGACTAACCATTAGCCAGCCCGGGAAACTGATTCTAATGCCAATTACTAGTTGACCTTACAGAAATCCTTGCCATCGACAAGGTTCTCAGTCTCTCAGAGGTCAAAACATGAGTTCCATTTTTAGTAACATGGGTTCATTTGCCAGATGCAGAGATCATGAGTACAGATCTGGCGTCTCAGGCCGTAGATCAGGCAATCTATTTTCCTACACGCACCCAAATTTACTTGCCATCTGTTACACTGAAAAGGCCGGAAAGACACAAAATGCCTCGAGATCTGAGTGTCCAATGACCAGCCATTGTAATTTGTAACCAAGAAAACTCAGACAAAGTTCGACTCCAAGTCACCAATCTCCTCAATGCAGAGGGCAGAAAGAATAACACAGACCTAGAAAAAGAACTAAAAAGGGTAATGAGGTTTCAGTCACTACCCCATCTGCAAAAGGGGGAAAACATTGAACCTCCAACTTTCCAGTTTTCTATCGGTTTCTCAAACCACGAAGCCAAACTTTCAGCTCCCAAACAAAGTTTCCATTTCCAGCTACGGGAACCGAAGCACAAATGGCATAAATGCATACACAACGCGTATAGATAAAATGAAGATCGAAATAGGGAAATAAGCAAGGTTTAAACTTTAAAGGGTTCAGAAGGGCGAAGAGTGGAGCTCACTCACAGTGGTTCGCCTCTGTTCTGCAGCTACAGCAAGGCCGAAGGCAATGAGATCAAGGATGAAAACGATGACCAGCACAAGTTTAGAAGCCATTGCTGCAGAAGAGACGAGCTTCAGCAACAACCCAAGATCTTGCCCTCTCCCTTCTCTCTCTCCTCTCTCTACGAACCCACCGACTCTACCTCCCTTTTTAACCAGGCGCAGTTAAAATAAACAGGGGGATGGCAGGTGCAACGAACGATTTTGCATATCTACGTCAATAAAGATGAATAAATAGAGTAAAACAGAAGAAAGATGGAAGAATTATTCCCTTCTTTTTTAGTTCTCCTCTTGTTTGGTGAAGTCTTTGATTATTATCTTAGGGCTCGCCTAATTAGAGAAGGACGGGTTACCAATTCATTTCATAGGGTCTTGGTTGACAATGGGGTGTTCACCTTGTGGCTTGTAAGCAGCAAGCAAGCACTCACAAACACAATAGTCAATTCTCAATGTTTGAAAGAGGGAGGATTAACGAGCAATTTGATTGCTCAACTTATTTACACGTAAGATATTTTTCAGGGGATATCATTTATTTTTTCACTGATAACTCGATTCTCATCATTTTAGGTTAATATTTTTACAGTGTGAAATGAGATAAAAGTAATTATTTTTCCTTTCTACAACTCTTAGAATCATATACCAATTCAAATGAGTCAACTTTTAGTCAATAATAATAGTCGGGAGACCTTTAGGAATATAGTATTTTGGTTAAAACTCTCGATTCCCAAAGCATATGAGAATGAGTAGTAAATCTAAGTATGGATCTATCCTTGAAAAACACGTTTACAAAAATGAGTCTCTTGCAAATAACCGACCAATTCTAACATGTTCTGTCTAGTATGACATGATCACCATCGACCTTTAATCCAGTGAATAATGCAATGTCCTTCACAGTCATCAAACTCTTACCAACCGTCAAGTGGGAAGTCGATGTCTCAGATCGCTAATGCTCAACTAGCGCAACGACGATCAAATTAGCATCAATCTTCATAGTCGCCAATGGTATAGCACCTTGAAATCCTACATCTAAGAAAGTTGAGCATCACCTATATTGCCATTAAATTATGGGTGACTTAAAACTGCCTCTAATTCATACTAATTTGCTCTCATACTTGACTCTAACTAGTTGAAATATAACTGTATTATGTAAATATTTACTCATTAATACTAACTCTTCCAATTATCCAACTTTATGCAAATTGAAGATATAATTTAAGAACGAAACATTTAACTCTAGTATACGTATATATCAACAACGAAACAATTTTACATATAATTCAACTAGTCAAATTTATGGAAAGAATTATCTTACTTCAAAAAAATTATATCACTATATTCTAGTACAATACAACATATAATTTAAACAATGTGTAACACTCAACTAAAAGCACAAACATTTGCTAACATTTGGTTGATTTTATGCAAACCAAGTCATTATCCAACTCAACCAATCAAAGATGTTAATCCTTCATATGAAGAACATATGTCATTTTCTTTTTATTTAAGGAAGATAAAAGACAGTTTGTGCCGATCGATTATTTATAACACAAATAGGCATCGATAACCTTTCCCTCTCTCCAAACGAAAGCAAAAAAATTCAGAATGGAGGAGTCGATGTCTAGACAGCTTATATGCCTACTACTCAGTCTCATATGCCGCTGCAACTAACCTCCAAAACCCAAATGACAATTCAAGAACTTGACCCAAACCGTCTAATCTTTCTGTTAGGAATCTGTTAGAATCCGCGTCTGGCTGGCTGGCTGGCCTGCCCATCTTTCTGCTCATGTAATCATGTTCAACCTCCAAACTTGAGAAGAAGTTAATGCAGGAGGAACCGTTCATGGGTCTGCTAATTCGGCCTTAATTAATGTGGTTTAAGTCCATATCACTTCATTTAATTACCCAAAACAAGATCCCAATGTTAAACCATGCATTCCAACTGGACACAGCCGATTCCCCTGACCAAAACTTTCCCACCAAATCCCCACCTTCCTTGTTCAAAATCACACTATAAAGACCTTTGCGACTTCTCTCTTCACCACCACCACAACCATCCCTTCAATGGCTGCTTCTCTTGTACCCTCGAGGGTATCGATTAGCCTGCTACTGTTCGTAGCAATCAGCTCTGCAGCTCTGCTAGCAACTGCATCAGCCAACTTCTACCAGGACTTCGACGTCACGTGGGGAGACGGTCGAGGCAAGATCCTCGACGATGGCGATCTCCTCACCCTCTCCCTCGACAAGGCTTCCGGGTCGGGGTTCCAGTCGAGGAACGAGTACTTGTTCGGCAAGATCGACATGCAGCTCAAGCTCGTTCCTGGCAACTCTGCTGGCACCGTTACTGCCTATTACGTATGTATACCCTTTTTTCTCTCTCTTTGTTCTCTGTTCCATAATTTAGTTATGGGACTAATCCGTAGTCGTCGTCAGTTGTCATCGAATGGATCGACCTGGGACGAAATCGACTTCGAGTTCCTCGGCAACTTGAGCGGTGACCCTTACATCCTCCACACCAACGTGTTCTCCCAGGGGAAAGGGAACAGAGAACAACAGTTCTATCTCTGGTTCGACCCGACCGCAGATTTCCACAGTTACTCCGTCCTCTGGAACCCACAGCGCATCATGTAAACCATTCATTAAGTCCTAACTTGCTAACCATACCACAATCATAAATCCTGTCTATGCTCCCGAGATAGCACATTTTAAACAATTTTACAATTTTCGTTGCTTCAGATTCTCGGTGGACGGCACCCCAATCAGGGAGTTCGAGAACATGGAAAGCAGAGGAGTGGCGTTCCCGAAGAACCAGCCGATGCGAATCTACTCGAGCCTGTGGAACGCAGATGACTGGGCGACCCGCGGCGGTCGGGTGAAGACGGACTGGTCGAACGCTCCGTTCACGGCTTCCTACAGGAACTTCAGCGCCGATGCTTGCGTGTGGTCCAATGGAGGCTCGTCCTGCGGCAACAGCAACAGCACGGCTTCCCCTGCATCATGGATGTCAGAGGCGCTTGATGCGACGAGCCAGGAGAGGCTGGAATGGGCGAGGAAGAACTACATGATCTATGACTATTGCAAGGATGGCAAGAGGTTCCCTCAGGGATTCCCTGCAGAGTGCAACCTGGGCTAAGTTATATATATGTTTGTATCGGTACAGAGTACAGACACAGTATTTGCACTTTGTTTGTGTAAGGTTGTGTAGTTTTCGTTTGATCTGCAGGAATTGCTGCCATATTAATAAGATCAGATAATACAATAGAGGTATTCTTATCAACACAGGGTTATTTAGGTAGAGGCTTAGAGTGGACATTGGTTGGTTGGGTAAGGATGAATTTCGGTTTAAAATTGACTAACTCGCTTATTAACAAGTTGAAATAATTGTGATATGTTATCTATTTATATTTTTCTTCGAGTAAGGTTGGGTGGGTGGTGGATAAATACGATTGGGTTGTGGATTAACCCGCAACAAATTACTGTCCGACTAGCAATTAGACAAGTTGTAATAAACTTCTCACAAATGAAGAAGACACTAGCAATGTATGAACTTTTAACTTTTTGTCTCTTGTGGGTGCATATTGTAACTTTTATTTTGACCACTTTAAATGAAGGATGCGTTGGCTTGGCGAAGAAAACAAAGTCATTAACTACACATTCTTAGAGATGAAGGCTCTTTATTTGTGTGGATTTCATTTCTTTCAGGTATGTATAAAATCTTTTATTGCTTCATCAATCAATTGCCTGGAGAAAATTCATGCTTTTTAATTATTACACAATATAGTAGTCAATAATAGTAGTTCAATAATATCCTTTTCCGCCTTTAGAAGTCGCTGGTTAGCGACGGGTGCATTTAGGAAATACGATAATCATTCGATAATATAAACAAGAAACAATTATTTCACATATGAAAGTGGAAAGCAAATGATTTGAGTGACCCACAATCCATCGACCATCCAACTAAATAAGTGAGGATATAAAATTTTCGATAAATAATCCATCTGCATCAATACTACAATCATCCAACTACAACAATTTTGGGCTTGTTTGCTTGATGGATTTGTGTCAACGATGGACTTTGTTCAAAATCCATTGTTTGTTTCAAGTATTTAGAAGTAACAAATTTGTGGGATCCATGGACTTTGAGGGTCCAAACCCGTGGGCCCCACAGACTTGAAAATCTCACCTCTTTATGTGGGACTTGATCATTGACTTTGAAGTCCATAATTTTTTTACCAACCTACCCCTCATATTTTTCTCTCTTCTTATATAATTGAGGACAATAAAAGATAAATTGCACTTCATACATATAATTTTAATTAACTAAATCCATAATAAAGCCATAAGAACTCAAAACTCTCATATATTCACAATTTTTCAAAATTCAAGTTATATCAAAATCTTCATTTTTCAAATTCAGAAAAAACAACCCCTTGATTTCTTTGAAGATGGATTGTTGTCCAACCGCGACTTAGCCCACTCACAGGCTTCACAGCCACGATAAGGGAGGGCCAGCCATTTGGGCTGCAACAATAGGCCCATTGTTCTTTTTTTCTGACGGCAAGGCCCATCATAATATTGTTTTTGACAGGAAGGCCTATCATTTTCAAGTACCGCAAGCATGCTGCTTCATTCCCAACACGAGAAACAGTCAGACGCGTCAGAGTATAAAAATGGTGTGAAAGGATTGGATACGCTTTAATCAAAACTCCCACTGTAAATAAATAGAAAAGCTGCCAGCCAGCCAGGCAGAGAAGTTAAGCCACCGTCCCTCGGCCCATTTCACTACTTTTGCTCTGTTAGCCGTCCACAGCTTAACCTTAGCCGAGCGGATTGAACGAAGAAGATGAAGTTTCCTTCCCCACTTCCCCGTTCCGCGTCCATTCAATTTATTGCCCTCAGTTAGTTGATTCTCCTCCTGCATATAAATAGACCGACTACACTCCCCACTTCTCCATCACCACCGAAACCATCACTAGCCTCTCAAAAGCACTCACTATGGCTCGCTCTTCTTCACTTGTGCTGCTTCTCGCCGTCTCTGCCGTGCTTGTGGCTTCTTCCTCAGCAGCCAACTTCTACCAGGACTTAGATGTCACGTGGGGAGACGGCAGAGGCAAGATCCTCAACAATGGCGATCTCCTCACTCTCTCCCTTGACAAGTCCTCAGGCTCTGGATTCCAGTCCAAGAACGAGTACTTGTTCGGCAAGATTGACATGCAGCTCAAGCTCGTCCCTGGCAACTCTGCTGGAACTGTAACTGCATACTATGTAAGTTGCTCTGTTTTCTTCTCACTGAATCCACTTTTGGGCCTTCAATTT